TCCAATCATCATGTGCATCTTACATAAGCAACTTAGAGAGATATTAAAATTTAAATCTATTTTGTTGATTATACTTGATTGGAAAAATTCAAATATCACAAAGGAAGAATTGATCCAATTCAACAATTTTTTTTGGAGGGTACATCTCGAAATTATATATTCTTTAGAGTTGAAAGACCAATCAAGTTACTCAATAATTGAATTGAACATGGCTCAATACTAGCTCGTTTGAGTTTGTTTCGTTAATTAATTGAATCAAACTTAGTTTGAATAGTGTTATGTGTTTAATAAAATTCAAATTCAACTAGAGTAAAATTTGATTAATATAAAGTGAAATTTTACATGTAAAATCAAACTACTAGAAATCGAATCAAATTCAAGTTGATAAAAGTTCATTTGAACTCAACTTGAGCAGTAAATAAACCAAATGTAAATAAAATTTCAAACTCGGCTCCAATGATGTTTGGCTACAAGAATGTTGAGTTTGTTTATTTAAACTAGTTTTGTACCCGTTCGTTGAACGGGAATCGTCGAAAAAAAATAAACTAATTTGTCAATTTTATAAAAATGTCGATATAAATACAGATTTAATGTATAATCTATTATAACTTGTAATGTATAATCTATTATAACTTGTTTTAAGTATATTACTATGTAAAGTATACAAACTTATATAAATTATTCTTATAGTAGAAATTTGAACATCTAATTCAGTGAATAATAATTCAAAAATGGAAAAAATAACATTCAACAATATCATAGCATTCAAAAACTTGAAAATAAATAAAAAGTGCACTAAATAGTATCAAATAATATTCTACTCTTCAGAAACTTGTTTTGTTTTTCTTCTGTTTGAACATTCTCCTCGATTTGTCTGTGCAACTTAGCATTTATTGATTTTCCATTATCACTGTATGATAGCAAAGCAGGATTTAATTAGCCACACTATTTATGGTATTTGATGTATGAAAGTGGGTAATAATTTTATAGTAAATTGCATTTGTAGACTTAGTTGACTCTATATTATGCCCATGAAAATCTTGTTGCGTTGACCCTTGAATACCAACATACATAAATTTCGCAAAAGGAACCAAAATAAATTTTCCCCTTTGAGTTCATGATCACTCAAGAGGCATAGGCCAAATGCTTATAATATGAATATTTAACAGCAATGTTAGACATAGCAAAAAAAATTCAACTAAAGTAACTAATAGTAATAATAGTTAAAGACACAAATTTCGTGAAGAAATGTCTTAGTCAATTGATTATTAAAAATTTAAGAACAACATGGGACGTAATCAACAATAGCATTTACTTCCATAAAATTCTTACATTTGAAGATGAACATATTTTTTTTAAAAAGAATCTTTTGGCTCGCTGAAAACAATTTCATTACAAAAATTCTGGACAACAAAACCCATGAAAATTTATATATATGAGGTGAAAATTTGATTAAAAAATATTTACGAAAAACATACGTAATTTTTGAAAAAAAATGGCAATCCATGCAAAACCTCATTAGTCACGGAAATTGTCCGTCTACCGAAGTTTTTACTTAGCATAGTTGCATCCTTTTTAAACTTTTCATTCATCTTGTAAACTTGAATCTTTCAGCAATTGTTTGTTCTCATTTTTTGACACGTTTAAAAAAAAAATTATCATGCATTCGAAACGGCCCGATAGGATTCCGCTTTAGTCAATGTCATAAGATTGATTTTCGCATTAATCAGTCAAAAGAAAGACTTCAAAGCTATCCACAGAACGGGTGCACCCATTTCAATGTACTGACGCGTGCATGACTGAATATGCGATTCCCTTAAAACTTATTTCTGATTCGATGCATGTGACCAATTAAAGAAATTCGATGGAAATTCCATTTGACAAATTTTCAATGGATCTTGCTCGTTTTGTCATGTTCTGCTTGCAAAGAGCGGGTGTCATAATTTTATCACTCAATTATTCAGAGTTATCTACTTGGGACGGTAAAAAAAATATTTTACCCAAAGTGGTCTTTGAACCAATTAAAATATATAACATTAAATCAATTACATTTTGCGACAGAAAATGTGCATGTTAAATCAATTCCTATGTCTTCATACAAAACAAACAAAATAAAACAAAATTCAAGATATGTTACTAAACTCTTACAATTCAAGACCATCATGCTTTTTTTTTAAAAAAAAATATGTATTGAAAGAAGATGTACCTGATAATCAAGAGGAGGTTGAAAACTCAAAATCGATGCATTAATGTACCAATCGCTTGCACTGAAAATACCTAACCATGAATTTGATGCTTGAAATCAATAAATTAGAGGCTATATGTAATGTAGGTATAAGAAATAAGAATTGATAAGGATATAAAGAGATATTAATAAGAATATTAAAAGTAGGTTTATCTTGATTTAAGTTGCTTAAAGTACATAACTTTGGGTAGGGAATAAGAATCCTATAATATTAAAAATTCTTATAGAAAATAAAACCACAATCGTCCAAATAACTATTTTTTTTAAGAAAAGATGATTTATTAATTGAAATTAGTTACTTTTCTACTTCTTGTAGTGATAAAAATTCTTATCGGACTAAGAATTGATATATCTTATCGGACCAATCATATAATATAGGAAGAATTGATATAAATCCAAACAAAAAAGGAGTAAGCCACGTAGGAAACTACTTGCTGTCTCGTTAAGCTATGTAGGAAAGAGAAAACATGAAATGATAAGAATGAGAATACGACTTTATTATATATATATATACACTAGGGGGGAGTACTCGCGCATCGCGCGAGTGTTTGGTGCCTATAATTAGAGAGATAATTTGAGAAGAAATAGTTAAAGAAGCTGGAGTTTGATATTTTATGTAAAACGTGTTTGTTGTACAAATGTTAAATGGCATATCCAGGGCATGGTGTGGAGGAGCAGCCGGCACCGGCGATGGTGTCATAGAAGTAAGCGCTCTTGTCGAAAGGAGTAAGGACTCAATGCCCAAAGTCAACTGCTGGTGGTTCAGGAAATTAATCAGATTCATCCTACATAAAGTAAAAAACGCCAATACAAAAGTGTGTAAATTATAAAAACAAGTCAAGGTGAATAAGCTTACCTTCATAATCAATTAGCAAGTGACTACAGTTACCTAAAGGCAAAGAGGAGCTCATCAAGGCTAACAGGAATGGCTAACCCCAACCGTGGTAGAACCTTCCTTTTTCAGTTGAGGACTAATTTGCTTAGCCAGTGTAGGAAGAAAGGCAGGTAGCCATATTCCCATTAAAGGGATATTCCCTGTTGGCTACTAATTTAGCAAAAAGGTTCACTATGTCACTAAAAGAAAAAGAAAGAGTTTGTTGTAGGAATTTCTGACCTCTCAACAGTAAATTAGTCGCTTAGTTTTCTAAGAAAGCAAATAGCTAGCACATCTCTTCCCTCGTCAAGCAAACCATTCACTTTCTCTAATAAAACGAGCGAGGAAAATGCTTGAAAGCCAAAAACTCCATAAGATCCCAGTCGTTCTCTTGCCTTGCCTTACATCGATGGATTTCTGTCCTGCTACTGGCTATTCCCAAAAGGAAAGAGGAAGTGAATCTCTTATTTCATATAGCAGAAAACACACCATGACCGGATTAATGTAGTAAGCTAGAGTACCCTAGAAAGCTGACCTTGTTCCAAATACCTCATGGGAAGTTTTTTCTTAAAGTTGCTCCAAACCTATCATTATAAGCAAACCAGTTAAATTTCAGAGGACACTGATTCTGTGCAAAAATCTTTATCTTGCCGCTAAACTACACAACCAAAGTTTCAAATTTTAGGATCTGACCACACATTGATGCTACAAACCACAAGAACCACCCACATAAACAACAAAATTGATGAACAAATCTAATCTCAAGCTAAACCACCACGAATAGCTGCGGCTGAAAACCTTTCCGAGATGTTTAGTATAAAGGCTGCAAAAAATATCCCAATTCCAGAAGCTGAAAGGGGAGAAACTGAAGAAGGTGAAAGGGGAAGCATTGAAACAACCATACTGATGCTCAGCCGTTTATTCATTCAATACCCATGTTTTTGGCTATTTAATTGAGATGCAAATGGGAAAAGGAATGGGTTGTTTTAGGCATGAGCTCATATGAGTTGGGAAACGATCAGACAAGTTGTTTCAAACAAATAAATAACCTCAAGCAAGTAGTTATAGCAACATGTCTTTGTTTTAATTGCACAACAAAAGTCACAGTTAAATTAAATGTATCTATAATACCATTCAAGTAATTACACCAACATATAAGCATATATGAGTTGTACATGGTGCAAAAATGGTTGCAAAATAATTTTACCTTCCAGAAATACCCAGATGCCTATATAAATCAAAACTTTTAATGTACCAAAATAAGGACATTTCGGTAAACATACCCAAATACATGCTCCCCTTAGTTGTACCAAAAGTTTTAAGAAAACCACACAACATCCCACATTCCCAAAAAATCCATATCATGCGGTTGAAATTCAACCCCTTCTTTGACCAAAACTCAATCTTATATAATATAAGGATAAGGATACATATATGATTCATTGACATCCGTGCATCAAACGCAAAGGAACCCGACCCAATTCAAGTTCCCAAAGCCTCCCTGGGTATCCACGAATAGGGCTGTTCACGGCTCGCGAGCGACTGGAATATTGATCGAGCTCAAACTCAAAGTAAAAAACATTAAGTTCGTTGGCTCGCGACCTCAATTATATATATGTATATATATATTTTAATAGTAAAATCATATATATATATATTCTTAATATTTTATTATTTATTAAAATTTTTATTATTTTATTTATATTTAAAAATAAAATAATTATTTTAAACTCGAACTCGCGGTTAAGCTTAATATTTTGAACTCGTCGAATTCAAGTTTGAATTTGAATTTTATAAAATTAACTAAGGACTCGGTTCGATAAATTCAAAATTGGGCTAGTTTGCCCACGAACCTCCAAATATTAAGCCGGCGAAAAACACTTCTGACTTTTCTCTCGTGTCAGTCCCATTTCAGAACTCCAGAGAGAATTCGGTGTGTGACTCTGTGTAAAAATGGCTGCCGTTTCAGCTCAACCCTCCTTCCAAACAATCAATTCGTTGAAACAACCATCCTTTGCAACTATAGACTCCTCCAGTAATGCTAGTAGTAGCAACAGCAGCAGAATTCTTCATGTGGGCTGCTTCTCAAATCCTTCTTCTTCTCCCCAAAGGCTGCTTCTCAAGAAAACTCCATCTTTTTCAACACAACAACATCCCCCAAGACTACTTGTCTCTGCAAATAGCACCAGCAGCAGCATTGACAGTAACAGTTTTTCTGTCTCTGTTTCACCTCCCTCCACCACCAGACCCAAGTTAGCATTTTTCCTTGTTCTGTTATTTCTGTTAATTTATTCTTTTGCCATTTTATTGTTGCTTAAGTGGGATTTTTGTTTATAGATGATACATTGGCTAAAAGTCTTAATCTTTATGGGATTTTTGTGTATTTCGCTTTTTTCTAAAAATTCCTGGGAATTTTTGTATTATTGTTAATTGGGATTTTCCTGATTGACGATATATATATATATAAGTTAAAGTATTAAGCTTTATTGCGTAGTTGTGCATTTGGGTTCTCAATAACTATTAAGTTTTTGATCTGATGAGGTCGTGAATCTTATATTCTTGGTAATTTACTTTGATGAAAGAAGATTTGTTTTATTCATGTTTTGTTAGTGTATGATGTTTGTGAATTTTGTCCCAAAAACATAAAAACCTTTAAAGGCCAATGAATAGAGTTCATGTGATTTCAATTGGAGAATAGGACAAGAATTGCAAAGTTAAATGGTAGTGGTAAGGAAGAGGGTTAGGTTAAGTTCTATTTATTGGCCCTTGTTTCTGAATTTTTTTTTTTGATGAATGCTGCCAGAAGTTGATTCCTTTACATATAAATAATAGAAAAAGACTAGTTTGTTTTAAGCTTCATCAAATGGTAGGGTCATTGATATTAAGGTTCTTATGGATATTATTGTTATGGGAGTTTTATGTTGCTGTGACTTCAGAGTGAGGCGCCACACTATTTCAGTGTTTGTTGGTGATGAAAGCGGGATGATAAATCGGATTGCAGGAGTATTTGCAAGAAGGGGGTATAACATTGAGTCACTTGCGGTTGGTCTGAACAAGGATAAGGCCCTCTTCACTATAGTTGTGTGTGGAACTGATACAGTGCTGCAACAAGTTATGGAACAGCTCCAGAAGCTTGTAAACGTTATAAAGGTGGTCATAATTTATTTAATTTTATGTCTGTGGTTACGTATTGGGGCATCCGACTAAATAGTTCTGTTGTTTGCTGAAGATTCAGCCATTTAACACCTCACCTGAAGCAGTTTTCTTGACAAACAGCTGTCTGATTCCCTCTTTTTGAGTGACTTCATCATTAAAATTCATAGTGTAGACTTTTGTTTGCATGATTTCCATGACCAGGTCGAAGACATCTCGAAGGAGCCGCAGGTAGAACGAGAACTGATGCTTGTAAAAATAAATTCAGATCCAGATTATCGAGCAGAGGTTCTATTCTATATCCTTTGATTGCTGTATCTGAAATTTTCCTTAATGCTAGAGGAGTGATTGTAGTTCTGACAAAAGACTTCTATCCTTTGACCTGCAACTTTTATGAGTGCCCTGCAGTTCTCTGTTTTATTTCCACTTTAGATCTGTTGTCAGGTTAACGATTCTGATATTTCTATGTAATCTCCAGGTCATGTGGTTGGTGGACACTTTTAGAGCAAAAATTGTGGATCTATCAGATTATTCATTGACTATTGAGGTTGTACTAGAGCACTTTTGATTTGGTTATACCTCGATTACAATTATTAATTTACATGTTTGCAATTTGAACTTCAATCTTCTATAATTGCAATGACTACATAATAGATTGATGTTATCTGGCACATGGTAATACTATGATAAACTTGGGTCTTTCCCCTTGTGATGGTGGAAGTTGTGAGAGCATACTCCACTCCATTTTCTGCAGCGAGTTTTCTATAGCATGAGCAATTCACCATCTTCTATCTAGGGAAAGCAAAAGTTGAATTTTAGGCCCTTGCTTTTGAATTCTTCATGTTATATTGCGTGTTATACCTTATCAATGTGTTCTTTGATTCATTTTCTTCTCTTGCTTTTTCTGGGGACATCGACAAGCCACTTGTAGAGTTTCCTTGTACTTGGTTGTCATGCTCATTCTTTTTCTTGTAAAGAAAATACAATTTCATCCATTTTGGCTCTGTTAGACGACAGAAGGCTAAAATTTCTGTTTGTCTTCATACTGATTGTGTTCATGCATGTTGCTTTAGTGACACATAGGCATCATGAAGATTTGTTAATGTTGACTTCTTTATGCACGTATCCTTTCCTTCCTGCTAAACTTGATGAATATCATGCTGCTAAAAACTGCTGTAAAGTTAATTATTGCATCTATTCTTGACAGACTAGAATTAGAAATTGCTCATTTTGTTCACCTTTCACTATCCTTTGCACTGTGGAAATAGGTAACTGGAGATCCCGGAAAGTTGGTTGCTGTGCAAAGGAATTTAAGTAAATTTGGAATTAGAGAAATTGCACGAACTGGAAAGGTTTGGTATACAAAATTTTAACCAAATGTTCTCACTTTCTTCCATATACATCTTTGTCTAACATGTGTTAATGGAGTTGTTGTTTTATTGGATGCCTTAATCTTAGATTGCCTTGAGAAGGGAAAAAATGGGTGAGTCTGCTCCCTTTTGGAGGTTTTCAGCAGCTTCATATCCAGATCTTGAAGGCACAATGTCTCCTGATGCTGTATTAAGGGCAGCAAAGAGAATACGTGATGAAAAATCTGATACATCAACTGGGGTAGTGTATTCAGCTGATCAATTATTGTGTCCTATTTCTGTGAACCTTTACCTTACATAAAAGTTGCCATGTCTACAAGAATTAATTAAAAATGGTATTGTACTGATATCTTCTGCATATTTAACTATTTCTCTGTTAGTTGTTAAAAGATTTAGTTTTGGGCAATTTTAAGCATAATTTGCAGTATCAGATTAATGCTCAAAAAATAACATGACCAAAACATAGCCAGAACTACTGCTTAAACTTCCTAAAAGATCTTACATTATAGAATACAAAAATTTGCGGCAGTTATACTTAGTAACATGTTGATTTGTTTCAAGATTTATTGGACCTTGGGCTGATTGTCTAGTTTAATTATTGTTTTGGATCACAGAGTCGTTATTTGGCATGCCACCCACCTTGTATTAGTTGGAAAATGTTCCACAGGAATTATTACTGCACATTTCCTAGAATAACTTGTTCCATATGCAAATGCAAAAGCTTATGTAATACTGTGCATGTGAAAAACATTGGATGAGAAGAATGGCAGGGTGTTGAACCCTGTGGACTCAATCTTGGTTTTTATTGTTTCACAAGGAGGATAAATCTGAACTAATTATTGTTTTTTATTCCTTTCTTGTATGTTTCAACTGATTTATCATGTGGCGAATCAAATGGTTTACATGAGCCCCATCCTAGATAACACAACTGCGTTTGGTTAATATGTAGATTCCCATCTAGCCTGCGAACCCCTTGGTCATCCGGATATAGATAATCTTTATATCAATGGATATGTAACTAATACCACTGTGCTTGCTGGGAAAGTTTAATGGACATTCTTGTGGTCCCCTACATGTTATTTATATCTCAATTCTGTAATATACTAGTTCCTACATGTTTTTGGTTTGTATTCTAGTTGTGACCTTGGGAATCTGATGCATTGATGCTTCCCGTGAATAGGGAGATGTGTATCCTGTGGAGGCAGCTGATGACTTCTACATCAGTCCAGTTCTTGATGCTCACTGGGGCGTTCTGGATGATGATGATGTAAGAATCATCTTCCCTATTGTACTGTTTTACAGGCTTCATTAAAGCATGTTCTTTGGAGTATTTCTCTAATTGACATTGTTTGAATATTTACAAGCTTGTTTTACATGGCTGAAGCTGTTAAGTGTCAAGCATGAAAGCTTTCATCTTGGAGTGTACATTAAACATGAATTAGTATAGGAAAAAGTAAAATAAATGTTTTATGGATTCAATGATTAGCTATTACCAGAAGTGACATGCTGAATGATCTTGTAATTTCGCTGAATTGAAAGGATGTTTACCTTTACACTAGTAAGTTTTGTAATGGTATCAATTAACTCAAAGATTTTTATCTTTCACATATATGTAATATATGCCATCAATCTTTCATGATCTGTGGCAACTTGGTCTGAATACTCGGAGTTGATGAATTGTTTGTGTACGCAAGCTATCTCTGCAAAATATTACCTGAATTTGATGGTCTGCTTTCAGACTAGTGGTCTTCGCTCTCACACTTTGTCAATGCTCGTGAATGACACTCCTGGAGTTCTCAACATAGTAACTGGTGTTTTTGCTCGAAGAGGCTACAATATTCAAGTATATTAACTGCTAATAAACAGATCAATGCATTTTTTTTTCTTTTCTCTTTAAAGGATGACTCTGCAGCTGATTTCCTTTTCTGACCTTCATGTCAGAGTCTAGCTGTTGGTCATGCTGAAGTTGAGGGGCTTTCTCGCATTACCACTGTTGTTCCTGGTACAGATGCATCCATAAGTAAGCTGGTCCAGCAACTTAGCAAGTTGGTAGAGCTTCATGAGGTGAGAGGATCCTAAACTTGAGAGTAAATTTTCAGCTTTTAAGGTTAAGAGTATTTGCCAAGTTTAACTCATAATTCTTCTAGCACTGCTAGTATGTGTCTTCATGATGTACAGACTTGATTTTTCTTTTCTGCATTTTGCTTGTCCAAAGTCAGGCCTTAATTGCATGGAGGGTAGTTAGCGAAGCTCATTATTGCAATGATGTGCCAAGAAGCTTCTTGAACTTTCTGGAGCAGCTGAAAGTTCTTGAGGCTGTGGAATTCATCTTCCTTTTTGCTTTGACATTTGTTTCTTAATATTTTTGCAGAAATTTTGGATGCCATCTTATGGATATTCATGTTTTGGTCTTTTATTGTGTTGCACTTGCAGTGGTGTAGTAATCAGTTTGGAATTTCTCTCTTCCTCCATTTCTCATTCTTGTTCTCTGTAAAAGGGATTTCTTGGGCAATGTCATTAGATTTTAACATGTTATTCCTCATTGCAGGTTCGGGACCTCACACACATGCCATTTGCTGAGAGGGAACTAATGTTGATTAAGATTGCTGTTAATGCTGCAGCTCGACGCAATGTTCTGGATATTGCCAGCATTTTTAGAGCCAAAGCTGTTGATGTGTCTGATCATACCATCACTCTAGAGGTTGGAGTTCTTATAGTAATTCAGTTTTTACTTTCCATTCAGGGCACCAACACCCTTGGGAGCCTCCCTTGTATATTTGCTTCCGGCTTGTTTATATGGGGCATATTTGACCTTTTCTCATCTGTTGAAAATATGTACATATTACCTGTCGAAAAGCATTACGGATGCTAAATCTGGATATTAGCTATATAAAGGTTAAATGTATTTTTTGCTTGTCCTGTGGGTTGGTGGTTCATTTTTCAATGCACTGCAACATTTCATGCAAACCTTTTTTCTTAACTGAGCAGCTTCTTTTATCCAAGTCCTATCCCACAATAATTTTATAGTTTATCCATTTTTGTCATGCATTTATATCTGAAGGTGAAGTTCTCAGCCTTTTGAAGGCCGAAGGAGAGACTTGAGTCAGAGTCTTGCCACCATGACCACCCACTAGAGTATTATTTGAAATATTATTTAGAATAATTACTATAGCTCTTTTTTGTGATGCAATGTATGTGAGATAAAAAAGGGTGGTTGGGAATGTAAAAAGGTGGATTGGAAAATGTGTTTATGATGCAAGCGAAATATTATTTGAAAAATTTTGCTATATAAACAAACCCAAAGTGTTTTCGGAGTTTGATGAACTGGAATCCCTCATGCTCTTTAACTAGTTTTGTTTGTTATGATGTGAAACTATTGTTATCCTTATTGTGGCTGGTAGGCTGAAAGATTTTTAAAGAGAGCGCTTTATCTGATTAGAAATTTAGAATACATGTGATTTAAAGGGAAGAGACATTTGGGGCTGCCAAAGTCTCTGTTCCTGTTGTTGGTTCAGATTGAATAATTTCTCAATTTTTTGTAATTTCTGGTCAAGTTGACGTCTGGTTCTTTTCCTCTGTGTTTTGTAATTTGCATATGCTTCAACAATTTTTCAGTACATCTACCCTTATAAAGAACCTTATCAATATTTAGTCTAGTGATGGCAGAATAGGATATTGTGGATTCAATAAACTGAGCAATTTGGTATTCAATGGAACAACTGCTGACTTGTCAAAGTTTTAGTTTTGGTAGTGCTTTACCATCCTGACATTGGCAATTTGTTTCTGTGGAATAACGATATAAAAACATGACTTTGTGTATAATGGAAGGTACAGTAATTTCACAAGTGGATTGCTGGAAATTAGTATATTGTGTCAGTAAGAAAAGTTCAATATAGAATTCAAATGAGCAACTTTTTCTACAGTTACAACCAGTTTTGTGTTTTATTTTGTTTTTGAACTAATTCCCAGTTTACCATTCAAAACACATGATGATCCCTAAGTAGCATTTAATATTTTGACGTGTGTACAAGTTTTAAATCTTCTTGTACTCTTCAATTCAATAGCGAATTGTGTGCAACTGTCATGTGGAAGTAATAGGTACTACTGCTCGAGGAAGGTTGAGATCTACTCTTTCTATACAAGCAAAGAATATAAATGTCAGTTGGGTCAAATTTGCGGATTTTGATGGCAAAAGAGGTCCAAAAGTGCTGTAGGTTTGAAAAAAACTGTTAAAAGATTTTCTGGAAATTTTTGTGCTTTTGTTTGATGGTCGTTTGCTACACTTGGTGCAGTGCTAGGGTTTCTATACCAGTTTGTGGCTCTTTTCCTTCCTCTTTTCACTCTTTTTAAGTGCAACACTTTTTTTTGGGTATTCTTCCAGCTTACAGGGGATTTGGACAAGATGGTTGCTTTGCAAAGATTATTGGAGCCTTATGGCATTTGTGAGGTTTGTTTCTCATCCATGGTCTTGTTTAACTGATTTTGTAGCAGATTTAGGTATTAGCGCTAGCATAGGAAATAAAATGCTGAGTAGGATTACAAATTTTTTTTGTCAGGTTTGGATGATGTTTACTTATGTTAATGTGATAGGCTATTCAATATGTTTCCTGGAATTATTTATTGGTCAATTATGACCAGTTTTTGGTGGATGTTCATGTATGTATCTGAACTTCCTTTCATCAGGTGGCCCGAACTGGTCGTATTGCACTTGTGCGTGAATCTGGAGTGGACTCGAGGTACCTTCGCGGATATTCTTATCCAGTGTAAATTTGGACATTCTGAAGCATCTCCTTTTCAATTTTGTAAGTACCAGGGCATGGCGTTTCATAAATGGAATGATCATAGGACATATGTACTGACATCATTGTTTTCATATGATTGAAAAAGTAGCTTTTAGAAATTTGGAGCTGCACATCAGGCCTACTTGTGAGTTTTTAATCATCTTTGATTTTGTCATGACTTTACCGGGTACTGGATACATTTGATATGCATTTTATACCATTCTCTTTAAGCAGCAATCTAATGGAATGCAGTTTTCAGTGATGTTGTAACCCCTGCAGATTGGATTAAGTTCCAAACGGGTTATTAGTAAGAAATTCGACTAACCAAAATTTCGGTAGTCAGAATAAGATCTCTTTTACCTTGAATTCCTGCAGTATGGGAGAGTGAACTGTGAAGGTGATTGTGAATTCATTATCTGGTCTGATGAAATATGTGAAAATGAGAGAATGATCGTGCTGGCCTGTCTTATTCTTCCTTGCTTCCTGTATTGACCAATGTGAATTGCACATACCAATTCAATGACAAGGCCCTATTTGGTTGAGACAATTCTTTTCTAATTATTTTGATAACTATTGGAATGTTTTATGGAAAATATCGCTCAAGCAACGGATATTATTCGTGTGCTAAATAAAGAACACTTCTGAGCATATTTTTAGGCACAGCATATTTGTCATTATTTTGTCCTTGCTAGAGAAAGTTGATGAACCAGGTGCTTCTTAGGGGTTAATGCCGCATTTAGCGGATGAAGTATTTTCTAGATTTTCTTTTGCTTTATCCTTTTCTCGCAATTTTAACTGTTCTTACTTCTTACTGATCTGTTAACACCCTAAAGATTCCGAACAATTTATTGAAGCCATCTGTATTTACATGTCAAGGTTGTGGAGTTTAAAGCAAAATGCTGCATCTTCCTTCATTATTATGGCAAAATCTTGTTGGTTCAGTATCTGTAACACAGAACAGCACCAATTGATCTTTTCTGTAGTCAAAAAAACAAAACAAGATTACAAAAAGTGCTGCTTCTGGGATCAGAAAAACAGTCTGAGATTCTGTATATAATTTGACAAGAAGATCCAGTAGATAAGACAAAACCAAGCATCGAAGCTGAATAGCACTTTCACATGACATGCATCACTGATTGATTATTCACAGGAGACATCCACAACTTGCTTCCCAGCATTGCCTGATGAGATACCAAGTATATATTGCCTCCTGATATCCAACAATATACGCTAGACAAAACCATAGCTCAAGACTAGAAAAGTACAATTCCAGATGATATATACATCATCCACGGGTAACGGACACTACCTGCTTCCCAATGTTGAGCCCTGAGAACAGCCCTATCAAAGAACTTGGGGCATTCTCGAGGCCTTCAGCTATGTCTTCTACATAAGTGATCTTCCCCTCTTTTATCTGTGGGATAATCATTTCCAGGAATTTAGGATAGAGATGATAGTGATGAAACACCAGAAACCCTTCCATTCGTATTCCCTTCCTGACCATGCAAAACAGATTCTGAACTCCTTCCTGCTGCTCAAGATTGTATTGTGAAATCATGCCACAGGCGGCAATGCGGCCGTTGAGGCTCATGTTAAGAAGCACGGCATCAAGCATCTTCCCTCCTACATTCTCGAAGTAAATATCAATGCCATCCGGAAAGTACCTGGAATATCAATATTGCAGTAAGCAGTCCACATCTTTCTAGATGCAGAAACTAGGAAGCATTCAGACAAATGGAAGTATCGGGCGTCTTTGCAGGTAGTTGGAATGATGCTAAGAAACAAGAACTAAAACTGACAATTTTGGAAGATGAACATGTTTTATTCGAGTAAAATGTCGTCTTCATCAAGAATTATGCAGTTCCAACTGGTAGCGGTCCAAAGGAAAAGCAAATTTTAAGGGCTTTTTCTTAAAGTCCCCAATAATCCACACACTATGGAAGCTGACCTTTTCAGAGCCACATTCAAGTCCGCCTCTTCTTTATAGTTGAAAGCTTCATCAAACCCGAACTTGTTCTTCAGCAAATCAACCTTAAAAATACGTCAATAGCAGCAAAGACAAGTCGAGTGAGTGTTAATTGGTCTTTTAGGCTTTTAGATGCACATATCATAATCATCATATAATAACATTCCTTGAAGAAGTAGCTACCATGCCAAATGACTTCAGCAGATCAGTAGGTACATATGGAGCAGTAAAAAGTCTGAGGCTAAAGCTTCTTGTGAACTGTAAAGCTAACGAAAGTCTTAAACATGGTTCCCATTTCCATTTTTGGTTTTTTCAAGAACCTACTCTGGGATTACATGTAGTTACAGCCTTACAGGTCATAAAAGCGTTTATTCAGCTTTCATTTTTCAACAGGTCGGACATAACATCCAAAATTTTCAGGCATTCATTCAAAAAGATGCAAAACCACCAAGGTTAAAGCCTTAAAGGAACTCATCACCTGCTTTGACATTCCAACTTTTAGCTTCTTATATCTGCTCGCACTCAGGAGGAACATGAAAAATTCTTGCATTAGCTTCTTACATTTTTTTAGCAGATTACTTCAATCTTGAACATCATTTGATTGCAGTCATATGAAAAGAAGGGTATTTTGAGCTCAAATAGTTTCTCACCCCCAACCAATAATTAGGAGAAATTCACTTGGGTAGACCTCTCAAAGCACTGACCTTTTCTTTGCTTCCAGCACTTCCAACGACATAACAGCCAAATAACTTTGCAAATTGACCAACGAGTTGGCCAACTGCACCAGAAGCGGCTGAAACAAAGACACGTTCTCCCTTCTTAGGAGAGCATACCTCAAAAAAACCAACATAAGCAGTCATGCCGGGCATACCTGTCAGCGACTCCAAGCAGATTAGGCATTTCATGGAGATACTAATTAAGAGCCCCCGGGGGGTTGGAAACTATTGCTTTACAAGTAATAAAAAGGACCATAATATGCATAACAATCTGTACAAATGATCAGTTAGTGGAACATCATCCAGACTTAAAACACTCGGATTACTGGCTCATTGAGCTAATAAATTGCAGGACCGTTGTCTTCTGTAAGACATATTAAATTGAACATATTTTAAGAAAAACATTGCTTTAATTTTAATTTTTTTTCCCTTTACTAACCAATCAAGGAAACACATTTTCACCATAAAAATAAAATTAAAAGAATAGGGAAAGTTTGAGAAACTCACCCAGGATGCCTGTATAGTAGGACAGAGGCACATCTGTGTGCTGGATTTTAAAGAGACCCTCTGTGGCAGTAATAATGCTGTACTCTTCCCATGTAGTGACTCCCCAAACCAGATCACCTTTCTTGAAGTTTGGATGACTGGAATCCAGAACTTCAGCCACTCCATATCCCACTATAGGCTGCAATGAAAATCAATGCCATCAGGTATTGAGCTTGGCTTACTAACAACAGGTTAAGACCTTTTCCCTTTCAATTGAATTATTAACCACTCTCAACATTCCCTATCATGCTGACAATCAATTCAGGCAAAGCAAATTACAACCAACTTCCAACTCTGGTTAGCAACATATTCAATAAAAAGAATAGCTCTTTCTACTGCAAATATACAACAAAAACAATCAACTTCAGCTATGGTTAGTGAGGCAAACGCAAAAAGAAAGAAATAAAGATTGTATGGAGAAAATGGCACTATTCATGGCTAAACTATTTATAGTTGCTTATTTTGATCATTAAACTTTTTATTTAGTCAAATTGGTCGGACAACTTATTAAAACATGTACGTTTCAATTTTCATCAGCTGAGTGAGCAAAAGTTCTTGTCTGGATTGAAGTTTTCCAAAGAAAAGTTTTTATATTTTCTGTGATTACATTTTTCAATCACTTTTTTACCTTACACATATCAAATCGTTTTTCTAAAAAAAATTCAGAAAATAACAACCCAAACTGGAGTTTTTTTTTTTAACTTATTGAATGGCCAAAAATGTGTTTATGTATTATTTGGTGACCATTTTGACTAAATAAAAAGTTAAGTAACTAGGGAATTCTTAACAATTTAATAACTATTTGACCATTTGATATATACATACATACATACGTACGTATAGGACATGACTTACAGAGCCAGGAGTGAAGGAATCAACGTACTGTCCTTCAAGCTTGCTCATGCGGGATCTCATGTAGGGATCACAGGACAAGTACAAATTTTTGACTAAGATTGCTACTGAAGAGTCACCCTCCGAAAGCTTTAACTTCAAACTAGTAGTTTTCACCTCCATGTCACTCTCTTTTGGGAAGCCACTCACATAGTTCTTCAGTATAACTTGCTTATTGCTCACTTCTACTTCACCCATTTTTCCTGAATTCTCTGCCCCAAAAGAAAACGATCCTTTTCTTCACTCAACTTAATTTTGGTGGGTTTTTGGCCTCTTTGGAACTGGAAAATGGGAGATTGAAATCCGTGAATGGTGGAAAGCGCTAGCGCCAGTGCTGTCTTATATTCTACGTGGGAGCAGAGAGCAGAGTTTTTTAATAGCTGGCGGCTTTTGGTAATGTGTATTATTGCATCATGGATGATGAATTGATAGCTGGTAGTATTTTAATGAACAGAGGGGCCATTACTGTTTGGATTTATCTTTGTTATTCATTCAGTGTAAAGAACTTTTTATACAGGATTGGATGGATGAATCATGAAACCAATCTATATTTGGATTGAAATTCATCTGGTTATTCACAGGTATGTACACTTGTTAGTGTTAAAAAATGTTAATAGTTATAGAGTAAAAATAATTAGCTAAAAAAGCGATCCTATTTGACAAAAAAATGATATGTTCTTGTCCCTTATTTTTATTATTACGGGGTTGATTAAGAGAACGCATTGTTGCTTAATTAGCAGTGATTTTGCCCTTATATTACGAGGGTTGTCAAGTTCGAGTTCAATTGCCAATGGTTCAAAGAGTTGGCCGTCATCACTGGAACCGGACTTTCCAATCCGATATCAGATTGAGATGACTCCAAGATAATGAATCGTCAAAAACTTGACCGAAACGTTTTCGAGATGGATAGAAACAGTCGAATCGCTCCGAATCATCTCGAGTCAACTTGAATTTTTATTATTTTTGCTAATTTTTATTATTTTTATTTATCATATTTTTTTACAATTTTTAGAATATTAAATTTTTCAAAAATTTACGTCTTATCAAAATCATGATTGATATGTCGAAATCGATGTGAAACGATCCGAACCACGACTGTGACTGCAACTTTGAGCCATGACTGCCACTTAAGGCAACATCTCGATGTGATTGGTATGTAAAAATCGTTAAGACACTTGGTGCACCAATGCCATTGAATTCGCACTCGGGTCATGATCGACTTGCAATGAACATCACATAATAAAAAATAAAGCTTTTAACAAAAGTATAGAACAAGTTTTGCTCATTCTCATTTTTGTTTTAGCTTATGATTTACCACTTCTCATACGTGATCTCGTATAACTGTCTATTGCCATAGCTCCTGATCTATAAATTTTTGTATAAAGAAAAGGAACATAAAACATCTAGGAATGCTGAGGTCGTGTGAAAGATATAAATTGTGAATGGGAGGTGCAGGCAGTCTAGGCTTTCTTATTTTCAGTAAAATCAAATGGAAAAGGAGATTTTATGCAGCGTGTATGTGTATTAATACCTGTTCAGGATTAATACCTGAAAAGGATTGTGTGCATGTGCGTGTGTGTATTGGGCAAAAGAAATTTTTTTTTTTTGATAAAGAAAATGAGAAGCTTACACACATAGCTACAGCTACCTGTACATAGCAGAAAGCCAAACACTATCAATACAACTCACTATATACAGGATAGCTAATGCCTATCAAAAGCGCCTGTGGGAAATACCACATTCAAGGATCAGCTTCCAGATTTCTTTGGTTCTGGAGACACCTCTCCAGGAGGTTCCTGTGTGCCTCAGTGCTTCAACCATGTTTGTGATGATGCCAACTGCAGAAAAATGTCTCTTCTGAAAAATTGCTTCATTTCTAGCTCTCCACACATAGTAGACTGTAACAGCTAGAGCCAGCCTATGGAATTTATCCACAAAGGTATTTGACATTCAATGCTAGCATAGCCAAAGAAGTTCCACAGAGCAAGGGTATGAACCTCTGAAAACAGAGCATAAGGCATATTTTGCACTCAGAAAGATAGGTGTTCGATAGACTTCTCTGCACCATTACATAAAACACAGTCAGAAGAGCCTTTCAAACATCCCAATCTTCTCATTTTATCTTTAGTATGCAATCTCCTTGTACATAGCAGCCACAAGATAGAGAGAACTTGGGCACAGATCCCAAACCAGTTTATGACAAGGAACAATTATTTCCATCAGGACAAAGAACTTTCAAAGCTGATCTAACTGTAATGCATCCGGTACTGCTAAACAAACAGATAGTAGCACCATCTGCATCAGGCACAGCAACAAGCTCACAAGGAGTGAGCTGCTCAAGTCTCTTTTAATAAAGTAGTATATGTCCTGCCACAGGGCACCATTTCCCATCCAGAATTATAATTATCAAATTAAAAGGTTTTAAAACATAGTAGACAGTCATTGCAAGATTTCGTGCAGACTCTTTTCTTAACCAAGCAGCTTGGTTTAAAATGCATGTGATTTGAAGGGAACAAAGACCTTGGCATACCTTTAACTAAAGCATCCTTGTCAGGTAGTTCTCCATTACTACAAGCTGTTGTTCACCATGTTTGTCTCACTAGAGAGAGGTTGATGAACCAACAGCTCCTTAGTTTTTAGTACCTCAATTGGCAGTTGAACTATTTTCTCAATTTTCTCTCTTTTCCTCACAACTTTAACTGTACCTATTTGTTAACACCCATTGGATTCCAAATGATTTACAGAAGTCATCTGTTTTTCCATGTCAAGTCTGTGGAAATAATGCAAAATGCTGCATCTGTCATTCTTAAGGCAAAATGCTGTTGATTGATATCTGTAACACAGAAAACCACCAACTGATCTTTCCTGTACTCAACAGACCACAAAAAGATTAGATTAACGCTGCTATTGGGCTCTGAAAAGCAGTGAGATTCTATTTATATATTTGACAAGATGCCAGGTCTATAAGACAAAGCCAAGCACCAAAGCTGAAAGCACTTCCGTGAGTTCCACTCAACACACATTATTAAATGTTTGCAACAGCTACTATTTGCTTCCCAGCATTGCACGAGATACCAAGTATACTAGACAAAACCAAAGCACAAACCGTGAAAAGGACAATTCTAGATGATGTACACTATCCACGGGTAACAGCTACCACCTGCTTCCCAATGTTGCGCCCAAAGAATAGCCCTATCAAAGCCCATGTGGCATTCTCAAGGCCTTCAGCTATGTCTTCCACATAAGTGATCTTCCCTTCTAGTATCTGTGGGATAATCATTTCCAGGAACTGAGGATAGAGATGATAATAATCAAACACTAGACATCCATCCATTCGAATTCGCTCGGAGATCAAGCAAATTAGATTGCGAACTCCTTCTGGCTGCTCAAGATTTATATTGTGAAATCATGCCACGAGCAGCAATGCAGCCGTGGAGGGTCATGTTAAGAAGCATGGCATCAAGCATCTTTCCTCCTACATTATGAAGTAAATTTCAATACCATCTGGAAAATACCTGCAAAATCAAGATTCAAGTAAGAAGTCTACATTCTTCTAGCCGTAGAAAGTACGGAGACAAATTGGAGGCCACCTTGATGTCATGTTGGCCACAAGTGACGAAGCTCTCAACAATAAAGAAGAGGCGGACTTGAATGTGGCTCTGAAAAGGTCAGCTTCCACAGTGTTGGATTGATGGGGATTTAAGACAATGCCCTTAAAATTTGCTTTCCTCTGGACCGTTACCAGTTGGAACTGCATAAGTCTTGATGAAGATGACATTTTACTCAAATAAAGCATGTTAATGTGTCACTGAGTGGTATTCCTTAGCTCAAAACACAATTTTCAGATTGTCACGAATTAATTCATCTTTCCAAAATTGGCACTTTTAGTTCTTGTTTCTTAGCATCATTCCAAGTACCTGCAAAGACGCATTATACTCCATTTGTCTCGGTACTTCCTAGTTTCTGCAGCTAGAAAGATGTGGACTTCTTACTGGAATATTGATATTCCAGGTACTTTCCGGGTGGTATTGATATTCCTAAGTACCTGGAAAGCCACCACCTGTACTACAAGAGTTTCCTATCTCCACCATTTTTATTAGCTTAGAGTTTACCTTCTAAGTTGATTTCTGGAATTCTCTGTTTAGACCTCAAAATGGGAACATTATATTCATGCATGTTTCGACCTTTTTCTTCTTATGCCATGTTTGTCATTCCTGTTGCCATTCCTGCTAAAGTCAGGCAGAGGGTGATATTTTACTGATTCCAACTGTTCTTTTGCTCTGTCAACCTTCCGATTTTCAACTTTCTGCAATAATACATAGATAAGTGCATTAAGTTCTTCATATAATTATGCCATAATCCACCAAATAACTCACTAGAGTCTACACTTACAAGAGCCTTATCATAATTTGCAATTTGTTGCTTGCAAAGCCTGAGCTCCATCTCAAGTGCACTAATCCGAGACTCGACAGGTACATCACATTGCTCAACCATCTGCTTTTGTGTACCTCGAACTACCTCTGGTTGCCACACTTTCAACGCAACCGATGCTTGCCTGATGGTATGCAAACATTCCAATTGCTAGTGCATGAACCCATAATGTTCCAATTTCAAAGAAGAACAAAATAAAAGAATAGACTTCGCAAAGTGGAATTTTAGATTAAATCAATTCCAATCACCAAAACTAGACAAACATTTAGTCCAAAAGTCTGCTGGATGAGAGCACAAAACACTGTTTTTTACTTTACTAACACCGAAATAATAATGAGCAATATCAGCAATTAAACTGCTGATGAAGTCAATGTGGCATATGGTGCAGAAAGCTCCAATAGATTATCACCCACAGAAAAGCATCCAGGCTATTCATTTGTATGTTGGTTACAACTTATTACCTGACTCTACGCAAGTTGAGTAATTCAGCAACTGTTATCCTCATTTTTTCCCTTTCCTGAGCTAAGTGAAGCTCCATTTCACGAATCTTTCTGGAGGACTCAGCTACTTCGCTTTCAATTCTGAGAATAATTCTTCTATGAGCCAGGCGCTTCTGCTCTCGGTTCCTCTCATACCTATTTCCATTACCCACAATCAAATACCAACAACTTGAAGTATCTTTCAATTGAATCCCAAGCAGGAAACAGTTAAAACAAAAAGGGGCTCTGAAAATTGTTGCTATCAACGTAAAAAGTAATGCAGCCAGCAAGTTCTTCCAAGAGAAATCGAAGATAGCAGGGACATTTACTCCAACTACTTGTCAACAGCAGCATTAAATTTATAGCAAAAAAACAAATCTTTAAACACTAGCAATGCAGCATGCAAGTGATGCAACTATTAAAAGGAGCCCAAAAAAAAACCTACTTTTTTTCTTTTTTTTTAACCTCAAAGAGTGGAACAATTAAGCAGCCGAATTCAGAAAGAAAAAAAAAAAAAACAGGGACGAGAACTAAAAAAAAGGATGGAGAAAAATCAGAGTTAAACCAGCACTAGTACCTGATTTTGTAGAGGGCTTTCAAAGAAGAAGAAGAAGAAGACGAGGAGGAGGTAGAATTAAATGAAGCATTGGGAGGAGGAGGAGGGAAATCGGAGAGGAGCAGAGACGACCAGAGAGAATCTTCAGAGGATAGTCTGTGGAGGCGTCTGCAAGTGATGGAGAGGCAGCAAAGGTCTCTGTAGGTGAGACGACAAGGAGGAGGATTTGAGGCTGAGGCCGAGGCTGAGGTGGTTCCAAGCTCGAGTATTCTTCTCCACAGCTCGTCCGGCAACATCCACCACCCCATCTTCTCCGCTCCAATCCAATCCCTATTATTCTTCTAGTCTAATTCTTCTTTGTGATATGATATTAATCTGGTCCGTCCGATGAAGAAGAAGAAGCCAATAAGTTGGTTACCTGACCACGCTTCTAAGCTAAACCCACGCTCTTAACATTAATTGGAGGAGAAGAGAAGAGAGGAGAGCGGCGGTGGAAGGGTGGCGACTGGCGAGTATGGGATGACAACAGGTGGTTCTGGGTAGAGCTGCCTGTGCATATTTCGGAAAAAACCGGAAATTTGATCGACCCAATCTAAATCGGATTTCGGATTCCGATAAAATAGAATTCGAAAAGACCGAGATATAATGTTTGGTAAAACGGTTCGAAACTGAATATATATATATATATATATATATGGGAAAATTGCATAAACCTACCCTGAGATTTCTGACACTAGCATTTAGCTCTCCTCTAGTTTAAGAAATAGCATGCAGCACCCTTGAACTTAATGAATATGTTGCAGATTCAGTCCAAGCAGAAAAATGTCCCATTAAAAAATTATTTTAAGGAGTGAGAAAGAAATTTGTGCCAAATTTGCTGTTTGACAAGTAGTATTAGCGAGGGAAAGACAAAGGTATTAAGGATCAAAAAAGTTAAGGAGGTGTAAATGCAAACCATTTCCAAGCAACCTGCAACAGCTTCTTCACTTAGGGAAACCAACGGCTAGTTAACGGCTGAATGTGCAGTTTCTTGCACTAACTTATAAAGGATGGTCTTGATACATGAAACTTTATATTAGCAAAAAAATAAGTTTGTTTCCAACTCAAAACACAGCTGGTTTGATTGACTTCAATTTGGCAAGTTGAGGTGAAATATTGAAGCAAACAATATGCAGTCTTCCAGCCACAAGAGAGCATCATGGAACTCCCCAACATCCTTCACAATAAGGAACAAATATTGCACTTGTAATCAAAAGGCAATATTGAAGATCTCTGAAACTGAAAAGAACCTCAACAAGTTATACTTTTGTTGTGCAAAATGCAAGTACTTCTAGTGATATGAGGGTCCTGAAGAAGAAGAGGCCAGCAATAGAAGAATTGACACCAATTCAGTTCTATAATCTCAACAACAACTGCAAAGGTCTATGGTAATGCAAAGGGAAATGCCAATTGTAGTGGCAAGTACAGCTGCTGTAAATGTAGTAGTCAACATACTTTTCATCATCAATCTCATACTTGTTACTGTGTATGTTTTCATCCATATTGTGAAGTCAATAGGATGATGTGCAGGTTCAAATATACACATCTAAATATAAGATGTAGCTACAGTTCAAATTGGTGTTGCAAGATAAAGGAGAGGAAAAGTGGAACATCATGCATGCAGCACCATTTCCAATTTACATTATAATGCAACCAATTAAGTTTAAATCTACTGTCATCAATACAAAATCCACTTCATCTAACAATACTTGCAAAAACAGATATGAAAAGCAGTTGCATTACAAGACTAATCCATTAATACAAAAATGCATCAGAAAAATCCATTACTACAAAAGAGTATCAGAACAATCCATTAATACAAAAGCATGACTGAACAATCCACTAGTTTCAAAATGCCATCTGCTGCAATGACTTAGAACGGTTGGTGAGGATTGCAAAGACCTATCAGCTCAAATATATATCTGCAACAGTCATATACAAAACATTCGTATCTATTGACCTAATTAATAGCACACTACTAAGTTGAAACTCAAGCAGTAAGCAATAAGCAGAAAACTACAGAGTATGCATCAGAATTGCATACTAAAACTGCTGTTGCTGCTGACATTTATTGACTGCAGTGCTATAGCTGCATTGATTGAGAAAGATGCAACTGTAGCAATTTAAGATGCTATAATTTGCTGAACTGGAGGAGGTTCCAGAGTTTGAGTGACCTGAGTTGTTGTATTTGAGAAAGTTCTCTTGCTACTCCCTCTAGCAGTTGCTCCAGTATTGTACAATGCCCTTCCTCTCTGCATAATCACAGAGATTGAACCTTATACTCAAACATTATACTAAAACATGTATAAAATGCAGTCATTCGAATGAACCTTTTAAAGCAGCTGCTGTGATCTAAATTTGTTGTTGTACATTCACAATTCCAGGTTGACTTGGAGGAGATGGATTGCTTCCTTGACTTGAGTGTAGAACAGACACATTGCCAGAGACATGATCCTAATAGTAAACATAGACAAGTAGTATTAGATATTAGAAGGTTTTAAAAGTTACAATCCTGATAATAAATCAACAAAATTTTTACCCAAAGAGTAGCTCCTGACAGGCTTGTGTTTGCAGTTCCTCTTCCTGGTTTGCCTCTTCTATAGCTCAACTGTTAGGGAATAAGCTAACATTAATGCATTTTATTTGTTTTCAGTAGCAAGTTGAGCACATATAAGACCTATTGGCCAGGAGTTATGTTGCCATTCTTCTTCTGGACAGAAGCTCTTTGGCATGACCTCTTCTTGTGACCAAAAGATCCACAATTTTCATACTTGAATCTGCTCGACCTTTTTGGTTGGGATATAGATTGTCCTTCATCATGTTCTCTTCTCATGTTCACCTTTGGTCTACCTGGAGCTCTCCTCAAAGGAGGAGACAAGACTATTGAAGAGGTAACATGTGGCACAGGTGGCCATATCTTCTCATCCGGAATTGGATGAATCATACTTGCATATGTCTTTAAGCACATATCTCTTGAGAACCAATGGTCACAGTAGGACTCCAGCTTCTATCTCTTGTAAATAATCCCCAATGCAACATACTTACAAGGAAGTCCTGAAATTTAAAAAGTACCACAATCACAACTTTTAGCTGGTAAATTGATTGTGTAAGACTTGTTCATATCCCCCACTTCAAATATGTCATCACTTGCCATAGTGAGTTGACATTATCTTGATGCTTGTCCTATTTTTTGTAGTTTATCCACCATCTTTGGGGCGACATTAGTGGTTAGTGCGCACCCTTTCTGATATCTCTTGTGCATTTTCTTCATGAACTTCTTCCTAAGCCCCTCAACTAGTGTCAAGATAGGTTTCCTTCTTAGCTCACCTACCCATGCATTAAAGGGCTCAATGCAGTTATTTGTGACCTGATCACACTTAATTCCAGTATTAAAGGTATATCTACACCAAGTTATTTTGGAAATTTTCTCTAAATATTTCCAAACTTCTATGTTTAGCTCCTTTATGCTAGCCATGGCTTCATTATGCCCTGCAATGTCAAAGCTTTTTGCTGCTCTCCAGAACAGGTTACTGAGCAAAATACCAGGAAATTGAGCTTTAAAATTGTTGCAGATATGCCTACAGCAATGCCTTCCACTAGCAACAGGCACTATCTCTTCATAAGCAAGATTCAAGCCTTAAAATGAAAACCAACAAATTATATTGTTACACTGATGATTAACAGAATCAGAACTGAACAAAACTATTGTAGAATTAATGTACCTTTTGCCTGTCACTCTTGAAGGTTAAATGACCATTCTCTCTAAATGGCCCAAAGAACTCCTCAAAGTAATGGAAAAACCAACTCTAGATTTCTTTATTTTCACGCTCAGTCACAGCAAAAGCAATAGGAAAAATGCTATTGTTAGCATCTAAAGTAACTGATGTGAGAAGTACACCACTAAAGGGACCTTTCAAAATACATCCATCAAAACCAACAAAAGGTCTACAACCTTCAACAAATCCATTTCTTAGAGCTTTGAAACTAATAAATATTCTTAGAAATCTAGGCTCAACAAGGAGAGTAAGCCTATCATACTGTATTTTGCAGATGCTGTGTGGATTGTATTTCCTGAGAAGTTCTGCATACTTTGGCAATTTGGTGTAGGATTCATTATGATTGCCTTCAATCTCATTTCTTGCTTTTGAAAGTGCTCTATAAATCTGCCATTTGCTTGGATGCACACCATATTTAATCATCTCTGCTTTTACTCCTTTGGTAGACATGTTAGGGTGAATTCTTATGACTGGTACTAGTTTCTTTGCAATCCAGTCCGCTGTGGCTTCTATGTTCTTCCTATCCATCATACATGTGTGTTCACCTTGGTAAGACTTAATCATAAAGGTGATGGAATCTGCTACTAGTGATGCATGAATTCTCCATTTACATCTTTCAACACCACAAATAGCAGTTACTCTACTCTTTTCATCTTCACTCTCACAATAGAAAATCCTTTCTGAATTACATAGTCCTTTAAAGCTACTCTAAATGCATCAACATTAGTGAACAACTAACCTTTCTTAAACTCTATGTCTCCTTTTGGGTTGTACGTCCACATTTTTTATTTCAAAGCTTGCTTACTGGGGTCACATTTTTCCTTATTTTCACAATCAGGAACAATATAACCCTCCTCATTGTCATCAAAATCAGAAAAGGACATGTCAGTATTCTCACTACCTGCCAGATACATACTATCAACATCTATGTCCTCCTCATTGTCACTATCCATGTTGTGAAACCAGTTTGAATTAGAGCTGGTATCATTATATTCACCTTCAGAATCATCAATCTCAACAATAGATACATTGTCCTTTCCTTTTTTTTCTAAGTTCAGATGGTATTATGACCATTGTCAACTAGGGAGGGTCTATTGAGGCGGGGGCAGGGGGAATTTTTTCCCCCCGTTTAGAAACGGGACGGGATCCCCGCCCCGCCACCCATTTGAAAAAAAAAGATATATATATATATATGTGCATAATTATATATATAATGATATTATCAATTATACTACTAATTATACATGTCTGTTAATAAAAATTATTAATTATTTATACTAAATTTATTAATACATTTATATTAAATTCCTAACTACACTTAATGCAATAACAATTTTTTTCTAAAAAACACAATAATAATTTAGTGATTATATTTGTATCAAAAGTAAAAACTTAATTATTTTAGTTATATTTGTTTTATCATATTAGATTATATTCAAATAACTTTTTGTTTAATTATTTTTATGAGTTTCAATTGTGAAGTTATAATAAATAATAATTTGGTGATATGTTGATTTTTAGTACTTGATTATTTGATCAAATTTAATTATAATGAAATTATATAATAAATTTGTTTTAATCCCACGGGTGCCCCTGCGGGGGAAACGGGGCGGGATGGGGGCGGGACGGGGCAAGCAGGGGATGGGGGACGGGGCAGGAGTGGGGGGAATTAATAGGCAACGAGGCCATTGCTACCCCTATTGTGAACCTCAAGATTAGTTTGATCATTGGGTATAACATCCATATTGAGCACATGCACATTAATCATCATTACAGACTTATGCATTTTGAACATTTCACTAACACTATCATCATCTGTAATATCAAACATGTGGCCTGTCTTAGGAATTAGGCACCTCATGTATATTAACTTATTCAGATGCTCAGGGACTTGACTGAATACCTTCTCGGCAACATCAAATAGCAAGTTAATGTAACAGTAATCAATTGGATCGACATTTGGAATTCTTCCCCTCATAGTGGATAGATATGTCATAAGCAGGAAGAAGAGCCATCCTAAGTTTCAAAAGAGACAGTTATTGAGCAAGGAGGAAATCACAACACCTTACAATTGTATTAAAATGTTCTATATTTGTATCATAGACTAATCATGAACTCAGACAATGACCAATACACCATGTTTAGACAAGAGTTGTGAATATCAAAAACAGATCATGATACATCATTCATTGATAAGCATGTCTTAAACAATTGGAATAGTAGAGCAACAAGTCTTAAACAACTGGAATAGTAGAGCAACAAGTCGTAAACAACTAGAATAACATCACATTCATATGCCATTGATCATTACTGACATATTCAACTGATGATACAAGAGCTAACATACATTCATTGCAGTCAGGTTTTGCCTTATTATCATACAAGAGCTAACATGCAAATTCTGTGCCTTCAAGTGACAACATCAGAAATAATTTACCTGTATAGCTGTGATTCTTGCAAATTAATTGGAGTAGATGCTCAGATTTTGGTTCCTTTCTACTATCTATTGTGCTTCCTCTCTCACGGATATGAAACCTCTCATGAACTAAACAAAAACTCCAGCTTCTTCCCTTATGTTTCCTTACCTCAATGATCACAATTTTATTAGTCACAACACTCTCTTATGGAGCAAGTAGACAGCTTGTCATCTCAAGAGCTGTCAAAGCACATATTGGCGCCAATTCATGGCGCCATCTTCCTCCTCTATTGGTGCCTTGTGGTTGCCTCTACAAATAATGCTTAAACATGCTCCAAGACTGATCAGATAAGGACGGACTCTCAAGTACTTTAGTTAGTTAGTTAATTAGTTTAATTAGTTTAACATGCAAATAGTTTAATTAGTTTAACAAATGATTTGTTGGTTTTGATGAAAATAATTAAACCTTTCATCTGGTAACATGAAAATAATTAGGCTAGCCAAGTAAATTCACACATTTTTACCTTAACAATAGGCCCCAACTTTTTTTAGTAGAGGTTAGTGCTATTTCAAAAATTATAGGGGAGGTAAATGCTAGTGTCAGAAACCTCAGGGGAGGTTTTTGCAATTATCCCTATATATATGTATATATATTACCAAATATAAGAGCAAATCTTAATCTTATTACTAAATACTAATTGGTAATTACTAATTAGCTAACCTAATTATAACTATACCTAGAAGTCAAATTTTGATGGAATTTGATATGTTGGAGTTTAGCTTGACAATTAAATTTGAAGGTCTTATTTAGTTCAATGTTGCTTAAGAATTGATATTATGATCTAGGGATTAGGATTATGAACCCTTTTTTTTTTGCATATCATATTTGTTTGAGTTAAGTTGATTGATTTTTGTTGGAAAAGCATACGAGATATTATTTTGTTACAATAATATTTTAAAAAAAAATTAAAATATTTTAACTCATTATTGATATTTTGAATTTCAGATATGACCAAATTACTGATTCTCCGATCTAATTACCAAACTAAAGTTGGGATGGTAATTAGATATTTGATCTTAAAAAATCGATTTTCAAATTACCAAAAATTTTTTTTACCGAATTCCTGATTATTGGTCGATGAACACCCCTATTTGTGGGGGCAAAAAAAAGAAAAGGAAAATAGGTATTGGAGGGAGAAAGGCGGAGAAGGGAGGAGAGGAGGAGGAGAACGAAGAAAAGGTGGCGAGTGGTGGATAAAGATGGCAAGGGGTGGTTATTGGGATGGGAAGTCCTTTCCCCACCCTCATTGAGTTACAAAATATCTTTCCCCATCCCCATCCATCCTCTTGCCCCTCGTCCCATCCTACCCCACTCCCACCCCAGGAAAGAAATTTCCTCTAAATTTATTATGCTATTTCAATTATTCAATTTAGAAAACACTAATAGACCATAAGATACTTGATTTTGTCTTCCAAGAAAGAGAAGTTGATGATTTTGGTCACCTTGACATAGGTTTTAGAAAATCAAGCAACTTGGAACCGTATAGCCTGAATTCAGATGATTTAATTATTATGTTAAAATTTAAAGGGTGATTTTGTTTGCATGAAAGGGTTGCCCAGAATTAGAATTCAAAAGTACCACATGACCTGCTTTTGATTTTTGGCTTTTTTGGCAAAAAAAAAAAAAATCTAAAATTAGTGTTTTACAATTAGTTGAGAACACAAAAAAATAATTTTTCAAAAATCAAAATCTAAAATCAGGTTTCCAAATTTGGTTGAGAACAAGCTCAAGAAAGTGAAGGAAAATGGGGTTACGCAAAAGAAAAAGGGGGAAATTAGGGAGGTGGACTTAGATTGTGTTCTAATTGGCTCTATGGCAATATTAATGTTGGGTCAGAAGTTTGGAGAAATAATGAAGCATGTGGATGAGGTGAATTTTGCATTGGATGGATTGAGTTCGTAAGGATTTGAAGGGGAGTTTGCTTGCTTTGTTGTCAATATGTGGAAGTGCTCAGCAGAGGGACTTTTAGACCTCGTTTGGATTGCTATTTTTACAAATTTTTATAAAAAAATATTTTGTAACAATTTGATGGATGTTGAGATAAAAAGATAATTAAAAAATGCGTTCACAAAAACTGTAAAAATTTTGCTATAAAAAACAACAATCTAAATAAGGCCTTAATTTTTATCTAATTCACGATGTAGGAGACGGGACGGAAGATAAGACAGAGGTATGCTCCCTTGTCCTCTGGCCCGTGTTTTGGTTGGAGGAGAAAATCCCCCCATCCCTGTCCCAATTCTTGCCTTAGTCATCCCCTACAGGATGGACAACCATTCTTATTGCCATTCCCACGGAGATGATGGCGGAGGGGAGGAGGAGAGATGGAATAAAGGAATATAATTTTTAAATATTTTAAAAACACTCTAAAAAGAAGAATTTAAAATTTTAAAATTTCTTCAATATTGTGAAACTAATAAAATAAACTATTAAAAATAGAGAATAAAGAGAGTAAAATAAAGACAGGGAAATAATGAAAATATTTCTATTATTCACTTATCAGATGTTTCAAAAGTTTACACACAGTACCTAAAGCTACCTGTACATGGCAGAAAGCAAAACACTATCAATACAACTCACTACATAGAGGATGGCTAATGCCTATCAAAAGCACTTGTGGGAAATACCACATTCAAGGATCAGCTTACAGATTTCTTTGGTTCTGGAGACTCCTCTCCAGGAGGTTCCTGTGTGCCTCAGTGCTTCAACTATGTTTGTCATGATGCCAACTGCAGAAAAATGTCTCTTCTGAAAAATTGCTTCATTTCTAGCTCTCCACACAAAGTAGACTGTAACAGCAAGAGCCAGCCTACATAATTTATCCACAAGTGTATTTGACTTCCAATGCTAACATAGCCAACTAAGTTCCACAAAGCAAGAGTATGAACCTCTGAAAACAGAGCATAACGCACATTTTGCACTCAAAAGATACGTGTTTGATATACTTCTCTGCACCATTACATAAAACACAGTCAGAAGAGCCTTTCAAACATCCCAATATTCTCATTTTATCTTTAGTATACGATCTCCTTGTACATAGCAGCCACAAGATAAAAGAGAACTCGGGCATAGAACTTGGGTATGAACCCCTTATCCCAAACCAGTTTATGACAAGGAACATTATTTCCAGCAGGACAGAGAACTTTTAAAGCTGATCTAACTGTAACGCATCCGGTACTGCTAAGCAACCAGATAGTAGCAACATCTACATCAGGCACAGCAACAAGCTCACAGGGAGTGAGCTGCTGAAGCCTCTTTACTGAAGTAGCATATCTCCTGCCATAGGGCACCATTTCCCATCCAGAATTATAATTCTCAAATTAAAAGGCTTTAAAACATAGTAGACAGTCATTGCAAGATTTCATGCAGACTCTTTTCTCAAATGAGCTGCTTGGTTTAAAATGCATGTGATTTGAATGGAACAAAGACCTTTGGATACCTTTAACTAAAGCATCTCAGGTAGTTTCCATATACTACAACTTCTTGTTCACTATGTTGTCTCACTAGAGAGAAGTTGATGAACCAACTGCTTAGTTTTTAGTGCCTCAATTGGCAGCTGAACTATTTTCTCAATTTTCTCTCTTTTCCTCACAACTTTAACTGTACCTATTTTGTTAACACCCATAGGATTCTGAATAATTTATAGAAGTCATCTGTTTTTCCATGTCAAGTCTGTGGAAATAATGCAAAATGCTGCATCTGTCATTCTTAAGGTAATTTGCTGTTGATTAATATCTGGAACACAGAAAAGCACCAACTGATCTTTCGTGTACTCAACAGACCACCAAAAGATTAGATTAATGCTGCTATTGGGCTCTGAAAGCACTCCCGTGAGTTCCACTCCACACACATAATTAAATGTATACAACGGCTACTATTTGCTTCCCAGCATTGCATGAGATACTAGTATACAAGACAAAACCAAAGCACAAACCTTGAAAAGGACAATTCTAGATGACGTACACTATCCACGGGTAACAGCTACCACCTGCTTCCCAATGTTGCACCCTGAGAATAGCCCTATCAAAGCATGTGGGGCATTCTCAAGGCCTTCAGCTATGTCTTCCACATAAGTGATCTTCCCTTCTTTTATCTGTGGGATAATCATTTCCAGGAACTGAGGATAGAGATGATAGTAATCAAACACTAGAAATCCTTCCATTCGAATTCGCTTGGCGATCAAACACATCAGATTGCAAACTCCTTCTGGCTGCTCAAGATTATATTGTGAAATCATGCCACAAGCAGCAATGCGGCTGTGGAAGGTCATGTGAAGAAGCACGGCATCAAGCATCTTTCCTCCTACATTATCGAAGTAAATATCAATACCATCTGGAAAATACCTGCAAAATCAGGATTCAAGTAAGAAGTCTACATTCTTCTAGCTGTAGAAAATACCAAGACAAATTGGAGATCACCCTGATGTCATGTGGCCCCAAGTAGTTTAACAATGTAAAAGAAAACAAAATGAGTGCCAACTGTGAAGAGATGGAATCAATCTTGAGAATCTGAAAAGTCCATTTTGACCTAAAAAATACTATCTAGGGGCACATCAACACGCTGTCTCCGAGTAAATCATCCTCTTCATCAAGAACTATGCTTTTCCAGCTAATAATGATTCCAGAGAAAAAGCAGATTTTAATTGTTTTCTGTCAAATCCTCATTAATCCCACAGTTCCCACTGATAGGGAAAGCTGACCTTTTAAGAGCCGCATTTAAATCTGTCTCTTCTTTATAGTTAAAAGCATTGTCAAACCCGAACTTGGTCTTCAATAAATCAACCTTTAAAAAAAAAGTCAATAGCAGCAAAAACAAATGAGTTAATTGATGTTCTTGGCTTTTAAATCCACATAGCAGAATCACCAGAACACTATTTTGTAAGAAATAAAATTGTGCCAAATGCCTGATGCTGGTCATTCGGTACATAGGGCAGTAAAAAACATGAAGCTAAAACATTTTTTTAAACTTTAAAACTAAGAAAGGAGTTAAACAGAGTTCACAATCCAATTTGGTTTATAGAACCTACTCCAGGATTACTAGTAGTTACAGGTCATGCATAGGTTTATTTAGCTTTCATTTCAACAGGTCTGACATGAAGTTTGAAATTATCAAGCAAGAAGAAATGCAGTTTGTTCAAAGAGATACTCAAAGAACTCATCACTTGCTTAGTTGCCTATGGCGTTCTAACTTAAGCAGCTGAATATGAAAAAATCTTGAATTTCCAAATTGGTAAGACTTTTTAGCAGAACTATTACAAGTTTGACCATCATTTAAATCCAATTGTATGAAGAGAAGGGTAGATGAGCTCAAATAGTTTCACACCCCAACCTGGAATTAGGAGAAAATGATGTAGGACCTTAGGATCTCTCAAGGCACTCACCTTTTCTTTGCTTCCAGCACTTCCAACAACATAGCAACCAAATAACTTTGCAAATTGCCCAACAAGTTGGCCAACTGCTCCAGAAGCGGCTGAAATAAAGACGCGTTCTCCTTTCTTAGGACAGCATACCTCAAAAAAACCAGCGTAAGCAGTCATTCCGGGCATACCTGTTAGCGATTCAAAGCAAATTACGCAACCCATGGCAACAATAAGTCAGCAGGCAAGGGGGGGGGGGTTTGAAATATCACTTTACAAGTAATAGCAGGACAAAAATTATGCCTAATAATTGATGTAAATGTTTTATCTTATGAGATAAATTTTCTGCAAGATAGTAGATTCAGACGTAACTGCAAATAGATAAGTAACTCAAGAAGCTGCCATTTCTGTCAAGCTACATGATCTGTTAGTGGAACATAGATTTGAACAGTAGTGGAACATGATCTGTCAAGCTACATGATATAAGTTTGTTTGGACAGGAGTTTATTTGAATGATTTATTTGAGATAATTACTGTAGCACTTTTTTGTGATGTGATGTATGTGAGATAAAAAGGTGATTGAGAAGATAAAAAGGTGATTGGAATTTGTAAAGTAAATTTTTTTATTTCAAATCTTCCTAACCCAAACAAGTATTCATGAAGAGAGCCAGATAGTAAATGAATAAAGGGGTAAAAGACTTGGATTACTAGCTCATAGCTATAGGCAGAGCTAATAAATTACAGGACCCTTGTCCTTTTAGAAAGATGGAGATTTTAACTTTTAAAGAGTTGCAAATGGAAGGAACCGCGGGGTTAGAAAGGACATGAGAGTCTATCTTATGTTCAGTGTTCATCGTTATTGCTTACAATAAAATTTTGCACAAAAAAGGAAAAGTGCTCCTCTTTTAAACATTTTAACCAGCTGCATAATGTTTCAATATGCTCTCTTTCTCTCTCTCCCTCTCCCCCCCAACAAAAGGGCAAAGCTTGATAAGGCTTCCAGGGAAAAACAGCATTTAAGATACCAAACTGGTATTGAACTTGAACACAAACATCTGTTGGAGAGCAATTCATCTCAATACTCATAGCTGGTGCAGGAAGGATACTCTATGCAATTGCATTGAGATCACGACATGCTAAATTCAACACACGAAACCAAAATGTTACTTTATTTTGTCATTGCTCACCAATTAAGGGAACACAATTTCACTACTGAAAAATGTAATTTTTTGATAATCTCACCCAGGATGCCTGTATAGTAGGACAGAGGCACATCTGTGTGCTGAATCTTAGCAAGACTTTCTGTTGAAGTGATAATGCTACGATCTTCCCATGTAGTCCTTCCCCAAACCAGATCACCTTTGTTGAAGTTTGGATGAGTAGAATCCAAAACTTCAGCCACTCCATATCCCCCTATAGGCTACAATGAAAGCAATGACATCAAGTTATTAGCTTGACTTACTGACAAAAGGTCAAATCTTTCGAATAAAAAATTCAGGGAATTCAGAATTTGTTCTACTTAAAGATATAGATGTTCCAAAACTTTCAGTACTCAACCATAATCCACAACTAATTACCATAAAATAATATCAACTAATTAATTAACTATAGACGCCTATCACTGCATATTCTTTGAGTACATTCTACATAGTTCAATTCCACGTGATGCTCCCAAACAAACAGCACAATTAAGTAAAACATATTCAAAAAAAAAAGAAAAAAAAAAAGAAAGAGAAACAATAAGATAATCATCCAAAAGGACCCCTAGCAACAACAAATCAAAATGAAAAAGAAACTTGGCAGAATTGACATTTAATATTAAAATATTATTCAAATCCGTATACTTCTACTTACGGAGCCAGGAGTAAAGGACTCAATGTAGCTGCCTTCCATCTTCCTCATGCGGTTTCTCATGTAAGGGTCACAAGACAAGTAGAGATTCTTCACCAAAATTGCCCCCGAACAACCTTCCGGGAGCTTCAGCTGGGTTTTGGTGGTTCTGATTTCCATATCACTCTCTTTCGGAAAACCACTGACATAGTGCTTCAGTATCACCTGCTTGTTCTCCACTGCCTCTTCTTCCGCCATTTCTGAAATGCTCTCCAAGATTAAACTGGTGGCGGTAATGGCGGTGCCGGCCCCGGTGGACTGGTGGCGTTTAAGGAGGATGTATTCTATAGTGCGTGTAGTGAGGGGGTTTTGAAAAGACAATTGTTAGTTTTAGGGCAAATTATCTGATTGGCCCTTTAACTCTTTGTCCAGGTAAAATTAAGCCCCTCAACTATTTTTTGATGACTTTAAGCCCTTGAACCTGTAAAAGTGGAAAATCGTGGCCCTTTTACCCAATTTCTCCGGTTTTGCAACCGGAGGACCAATTCACACGCATGCAAGTGTGCTTCTTCAAAGGGCATTTTTGTCCGCCTGTTCTAAACAAAAAGGGCACAACTCCTTCCTCCTTCTTCTTCTTCTTTTCTTTCTTCTTTCTTCTTTTTTCTTCCCGCTACCTCTGTTTTGCTCTGTGCCGCCGCCCGTGCTCGCCGCCAGCTCCAAATCGATCTCGCGCTTCGCTCTCCCCACCACCAGCTCGACATCACTCCAGACGCCACCTCTGCCCCAGCTAAACTCTTCCGCCACCAGATCTGCTGCTCCCACGAACCCCCTGCATCTGCTGCTGCTCCTCTGCCGCTGACCAGTCGCGCGCCGCCATCTCACCAGCAACCCCAGCCGGTCGCGCCCCAGCCTCTGTGCCGCCGCCGCTCACTCCCAAAGCCACAGTCGCGAGCCCCCTCTCCCTTCGCGCGAGCAGCCCGCCGCCATTTCGCTCGACTGAGCCCATCGCGCGCCCCCATCGCACGCCATTAGAACAGGCGGACAAAAATGCCCTTTGAAGAAGCACACTTGCATGCGTGTGAATTGGTCCTCCGGTTGCAAAACCGGAGAAATTGGGTAAAAGGGCCACGATTTTCCACTTTTACAGGTTCAAGGGCTTAAAGTCATCAAAAAATAGTTGAGGGGCTTAATTTTACCTGGACAAAGAGTTAAAGGGCCAATCAGATAATTTGCCCTTAGTTTTAACTGTTAATGAAGCAATAAATGCACGGCCAACAACTTACAATTTCTTATTCATCACTTGTAAAACGTGGTAAAATTATGCATGGGACTCACGTGAAAAATATGCGACATTTGTTGCTGTGAATTCATACATATAATTAATAATGATTTATAAATTGTTTATATATTGTTATATCATTGAGGAACGATTGTTTGTTTAATTGTATTATCTGAAAAAAGATACGAATGAAATTGTGATGATTAATGAATAATCATTTTGTTTTAGTTGTTTGGAAAATAGGATAATTTTTTTTGGTACCCGAAAAAGGATAAAATTAATGTGGAGGGTTGGAGGAGGGGGTTGGAGGGGGCAGGGGGGGGGGGAGAAAGACTTTGTAGATTTTCTCATTGTTTGAATAGAAGATTATTTGGAAAAGTGCTATAGTATTATTCATGTATAACATTACAAAAAGTTTTATAGTATTATTTTAAAAAATTTTCCAAATAACCTTCTATTTTTTTTAAAGAATTCTAAGAGTATTAATCAATACACATAATAGTTAAATATAGATGAGACGGATGGAACAGAGATAAAATTCAGGACAGATGATTTGAAAGCGCAGACAGAGGTGTTTCAGGCCTGCTGTTGAGGTTAAAAATTAAGCGAATTTTGAAGTGGAATAATCTCTCGTTGGTGCAGTTAATACCTATAAGTTCCTTGGTCAAGTTGAAGCCATCATATTGAGCTTCTTCGAATATGCATTAACTTTGATGGATACACACATACTTAGGAGCAAGTGCCCATAAAACCTCCTATCGATTCAAATAAAAAAAAAAAAGGGACTTTTTGTCTCCAAAGAAGTCTTTGATGCTTAAATCAAATACCTAGGGTGAATTCCTTGCATTGGCATTTGCATTTGACACATGACGTTGTATACTATCATCATTTGCCTCGGTACTCTCAAGTTTTAGCTGCAACTTTTGAGAATAGTGGAATGTTCAAGGGTAGATTTGCACTTGTTTTTTTTTTTTTTTTTTTGTTACAAAAGAGAGAGGTGCATCCTCTTAAACGTTTACCCCTAAGATGTCCGCTCCAAGAATTTCCTCAAGTTCAGTTGGAGGCTCTCTAAAGATCTGCATGCAATCCTGGTTCTCTGCAGATGCTGCCATTGGCAGACCAGTCAGCACTTTGATCCATTTTATCAATGCATTTGTAACTGAAACTAGAGTTCTATCTACAACAAGTTGTTTACTAATTTCTCTCACTAGAGAGAAGTTGATGAACCAACTGCTCCTTAGTCTTGACTCTTCAGGGCCATGTACAGAGGTCATTGTTTCTCCTTGTCAACTCTGCGGATATAAAGCAAAATGCTGTTGATTTACACAGAAAAGCACCAAACTGATCTTTCCTGTACTCAAAGGAACACAAAAAGATCATACAAGATGCACTGACATAGGGCTTCGGAAAAGAGGAAGATTCTGTTTATGTATTTGACAAGATGATAGATCGATAGGATACAGCCAAGCACCAAAGCTGAAAGCACTTGCATGAGTTCCACTCGATATACATTATTGATTATTCACAACAACCACGATTTGCTTCGCAAAGATTGCACGAGTATACTAGACAAAACCAAAGCACAAACCTTGAAAAGGGCAATTCCAGATGATATACATTATCCACGGGTCACTGCTACCAGCTGCTTCCCAATGTTGCGCCCTGAGAATAGCCGTATCAGAGCACTTGGGCCATTCTCGAGGCCTTCAGCTATATCTTCCACATAACTAATCTTCCCTTCTTTAATCTGTGGGATAATCATTTCCAGGAACTTAGGATAGAGATGGTAGTAATCAAACACTAGAAATCCTTCCATTCGAATTCGCTTGGTGAGTAGGCAAAGCAGATTGTGAATTCCTTCCGGATGCTCAAGGTTATATTGCGAAATCATGCCACAGGCAGCAATGCGGCTGTGGACGGTCATGTTTAGAAGCACGGCATCAAGCATCTTTCCACCTACATTCTCGAAGTAAATATCAATACCATCTGGAAAATACCTGCAAAATCAACATTCGAGTCAGAAGCCTATTCTAGCTGTAGAAAATACCAATATAATTGCAGAACACCTTGATGTCATGCACAGAAAGTAGTTTGAATGACACAAAGAAACAAGAAACTATAAATGCCAACTTTGAGATGAAATCAATCTGAGAATCTGAAAAATCCATTTTGAGCTAGAAATACTGCTCAGTGGCACATCAACATGAACTATACTGCTCCACAGCCGCATTTAAATCCTGCCAGATTAATTCCTCATTAATCCCACTATTATTGAAAGCTGACCTTTCCAGAGCCACATTTAAATCTGCCTCTTCTTTATAGTTGAAAGCTTCGTCAAACCCCAACTTGTTCTTCAATAAATCAACCTTAACAACAAAAAACAAATGTCAATAGCAGCAAAAACAAGCAAAGTGAGTTAGTTGATCTTTTAGGCTTTTGGATCCACATATCAGAATCACCAGAACACTTTTCTGTGAGAAACAGTAATTATACCAAATACCTGAAGCAGGTCACTAGGTACATGGGGCAGTAAAAAATTTGAATCTGAAACATATTGTGAACTGCAAAGCTAAGGAATGTCCTAAACATAGTTCACATTCCAATTCGGTTTCTAGAAGCATCTTCAGGATAACAAGTAGTTCCAGGACATACATAGGTTTATCTAGCTTCCACTTCAACAGGCCTGGCACGATGTTTGAGAATTCTTAGCCAAGGAAAAATGCAATTCGTCCACATAGATACTCAAAAACTCATCACTTGGCTATGGGATTCCAACTTTAGCTCATATCAATCACACTAAATATTGAACATGAAAGAATTTTGAATGTTTGGATGGACAGACATTTTAGCAGAACTACGACAAGCTTGGCTATCATCTAAATGCAGAGTTATGACAAGCAGGGTATTATCAGCTCAAACAGTTTCTCACCCCAACCTGGAATTAGGAGAAACTTATGGAGTGGACTTCTCAATGCACTGACCTTCTCTTTGCTTCCAGCACTTCCAACAACATAGCAGCCAAATAGCTTTGCAAATTGCCCAACAAGTTGGCCAACTGCTCCAGAAGCTGCTGAAATAAAGACACGTTCTCCCTTCTTCGGAGAGCACACCTCAAAAAAACCAGCATAAGCAGTCATGCCAGGCATACCTGTTAGCAACTCAAAGCCAATTAGAGAACCGATGGAGATAATAAGTGGGCCCATGCAGGGAGGCCGGTTGAAACTATCACTTTGCAAGTAATTAAAGGACAAGATTTTGCACAATAAATCACATAAATATTTCTTCCAGTACGATAAAAATTTCTTCAATATAGCAGATTGAGACATTACAAATAACGTAGTTCAAGAAGCTGCAATTACTGTATACCTGAATGATCAGTTAGTGGAACGTCATTTAGGGAAATTCGTGATGAGAGCAAGAGACTAAATGAAAAAATGACTAGAAGATTGGATTACTAGCTCAAGGTGTTTATGCCTGAGCATCTGCTGTAGGCAGAACTAATAAATTACAGGACCCCTTTCTTTTTAAAGACCATAAGATTTCACTATCACGAATTGAAAATGGCAGGGACTGTGGAGGATAGAAAGGGAATGAGAGTCTATCTGACCTTTAATGTTCATCATTATTCTTCACGATAAACTATTGCTGGAAAAAGGAAGAATGCTCCTCTTTTAAACATGTTAACCTGCTGCATAATATTTCAATTATGCTCTCTCTCTCTCTCCTCCCCCCTTTACGACAGGTAAAGCTTGTTATGGTTTACAGGAAATCATTATGTAAAAAGGGATAATATCAGAAACCTCCCCAGAGGTTTGTCTTAATATCACCTATCACCCCTAAGGTTTTAAAAATATCACTTACCTCCCTTACTTTTGTTATTTGTTTAACAAAATTTTTAAAAACCCTAAACTACTCTTTCACTTGCTAAATAAAAATTTTCCTAAACCACTTTGTTTCACTTGAAGAAAACCATCACCTCAAAAACAATCTTTTGTAGTATTACCACATCATAATGCTATAGCTCATAAAAATATAAATTTGAAAAATAAAAAAGAAATTTGAAAAGAAATACACTTGCATCAATTTAACTCTATATGTTCAAAACTGATTTCTTATGAATTTATATATTTTTTCCAACATCTTCTCAACCCTTGCTCAAACCATTAAACTGTACCAATCATTATAAAAATCAACTCAAAATAAGCAATCTTTTGTAGTATTACCACATCATAATGCTATAGCTCATAAAAATATAAATTTGAAAAATAAAAAAGAAATTTGAAAAGAAATACACTTGCATCAATTTAACTCTATATGTTCAAAACTGATTTCTTATGAATTTATATTTTTTTTCCAACATCTTCTCAACCCTTGCTCAAACCATTAAACTGTACCAATCATTATAAAAATCAACTCAAAATAAGCAAATAAATCATACCCTACTTCATCATAATCACAAAAGGTAAAAGACAAACAAAATTCAATTTATTATAATTTACAAATAAAATATTGCATAGTCATCCAAAAAATGAGTTAGAGAGAATGATGGAAAAAAGGGAAAAAAGAAGAAAGTGACATTCGTTTCTTTTTCTTTTTTTTTTGAGCTCCATTCATTTGATATGTTGTGAATTATGTGTCAAGTGAGGGTGAATATAGTCTTTTTACAATTACTAGGGGGAGGTAAGTGATATTTCTAAAAACCTGAGGAGTGCCAAGTGATATTAAGAGAAACCTCAAGGGAGGTTTCTAATATTATCCCTTATTTAAAAATACCAAATTACACTTGAACACAAACTTCCATTGGAGAGCTACTATTTATGTCGATGCTTGGATATCTGGGTGGATTCTCTGAAATTGCATCATAATTAAGACAACACAGGGAAGCAAAATATTAGTTTATTTCATCATTATTGACCAATCAAAGAAACACACTCTCACTATTGAAAAAATGAAATGTTTGTGAGAAACTTACCCAGGATGCCTGTATAGTAGGACAAAGGCACATCTGTGTGCTGAATCTTAAAGAGACCCTCTGTGGAAGTGATAATGCTGTACTCTTCCCATGTAGTGATTCCCCACACCAGATCACCTTTCTTAAAATTTGGATGACTAGAATCCAAAACTTCAGCAACTCCATATCCCACTATAGGCTACAACGAAAGCAATGGCAAGAAGTTATGATCTTGACTTACCTTTGTCCTCTCTCAATTGAATCATTAACCACTGTTGACAGTACCTATCATGCTGATAATATATTCTTGCAATCAGTTAAATAAGTCTTACAAGAGGACCTTTCTACTGGATATAACAGATTACAATCAACTTCAACCATAGTCAGTTAGGCATACCATAAAAAATGTAACTTGGAGCACCCATATTAGACAACTTTCAATTGCCGATCTTCACACAGGTATCCAGTTAATATGGACCACTAAAAATGCCAAAAATAAATAATATATGCACAAGCATTATGTGCTTGCAAGATCACAAAATGGAAAGCCATTGATGGAAAGAGCTCCTGAAAGAATCTCAATCACTAAACTGCAACCTGGATTACCAACCACAACCTGCTATTAGAGTCACCTGTAACCTAGAGGTGATTATGCACTACCAATCCGAAGTTATGATGTTATATCATATCTGATAACTTAAGAAGCTCTAAAAAACACGTGTTATCCTTTTCTGAAACATTTACATGATGTGAAGCTAATTATAAGCAAGTTTTTTCTCCAAACTGTAAATTGAATCTTTAAGTATTTTGCCGCATCATTTCACACATGATGACCTTAAAGACTCAATCCAGTTTTTTGATGGTTCTTAAAACAAAAGCATATGCAAACCACTGCCTCTTGATTTCACGTTGCTGTAATTGTTCATTCCTTAAATTCAACATTGGCCAAGTTCAATGAATAACAACAGGCTCTCAATAATGGTCTTCGGAAATGAAACAGACTTACAGAGCCTCAAATAAAGGACTCAACATAGCTTCCCTCGAGTTTCAGCATACAATTTCTCATGTGAGGATCACAGGACAAATACAGATTCTTCACTAGCAAAAATTATCAGAATCTTCTGGGAGCTTCAGCCTTATGGAACAAGGTGCAAAAATCATATCGGTTGTTGGTGCAATATTTACAGCTTATGGGCAGATAGAACTTTTCGGCAGCATTCATTAGAGCCCGATCAATAATCGGCATAATGGCGATATTCACACACCTGTTGGCATCCACAAACATATGCAGATACATGCAGATATAAAAAGGAGAAAGGAACCAGATTATGCTAACCAATTTATCAGAAATCATGCATCAGATCATGGTCGTAAAAATCAGGGACGTGGGAGTTATAAATTCCTAGAGGTAAGGAAGTGGGTGATTCCTGCTACCCACGTTTCAGCTGATATGGCTGGCATGGTAGGAGGTTATCTAAGAGGTGGACCACTAAATCAGCAATAAACCATGAGCTCAGGGAGTGGAACACCAAACCAGCCATGATTCCATAAGACGTGGAAATGGCTCTATCAGCAACATCTACCACCACAAATCAAGAAGCAAACTATAAATACTTGGAGATTACATCAGAACATTTACGAACTCTCAACATGACAAACAACTCAAAGAAATTCTCTAAAAAATAGTAGTTTTCATGGGAAAATGCTCTCAATTTAGAAACGTTCATAGATTCTTTAGGCTAGCTTTAGGATTTCCCAAGCTTTCTTGCAATCATTTCCCTTTCGTTTAACCTTTCCATTTCATGTTTCCAAGCAGTTTTTATATTTCAAGCAATCTTTATGTTTCCAATCAATTGTTGAATTTCCAGTGTTTCAAACTTTAATTCCTTTATCAGTTTATAAATTAGTTTTCTTTCCCATTGCTTTCTTTATCAGTCACTTGTCATGAATTTCAAGCCCTTGAGGCTACTGATGGCAGATGGACAACAGTGGTCTACAAGTCAGAGGGCACATCCTCTCGCTTACAGATATCAGCTCATTTTTCATCATTTACCTGATCAAATCAGGTGGCATGCTTGCAACAACTACAACATCGACGTCAGTTCGTCAGCTGCCAAAAATCAACGCAAACAGGGCTCTTTGGGAAGACCATTTACATACTTTTTCATTATCACCTGGGCGTTACTCACGTCCTCTGCCTCTACCATTTTCAAGAAACTCACTAATTATTAGATAAAAATGATCTTCTCTAGCTTTCAGTCTAAAGCAAGCTCTTCATTTCTGCTTATTTTCACTTTCAAGTGATTACCTACCCAAAACAACTCCTTTTATTCCGTAATCTCATTCTAGGATAGTGGTGCAAAGCAACAGAAGTTTTGAACAGAGTATCTTTAACATAAGATCCCTACAACACGGAATAATCTTAAGCCGACAACTCATTCACCTAGATTAATTTCAACATGATTTTTTAGTAAAATACCAACCTGCATGTATATCACTTTTCTGGACCTCGAAAATTGCTTTTATTTGTAGTCCATTGGTTTCTATTATTCTTGTTTTTCATGACCTTCTCAATACTTCCCTTGTTTGCTTTTGAACAAAGTCTTGGAGGATGGAATTGGAAGGTCACTGGCCCAAAAAGGGCAATCAAACAAAAGAACAATAAGATAGTCATCCAAAAGTACTCACAGCAACCTCCCAAAAAAATTTCACAATTAATATTAAAAAAAATTATCCAAATCTATATACTTATACTTACAGAGCCAGGATTGAAGGACTCCAAGTTGACGCCTTCGATCTTGCCTTCCATCTTGCTCATGCCGTTTGTCACGTAAGTGTAAGGTTCACAAGACAAGTAGAGATTTTTCACCAAAATTGCGCCCGAAGAACCTCCCGGAAGCTTCAGCTTCGTTCTGGCGGTCCTGATTTCCATATCGCTCTCCTTCGGAGAACCCCTGACGCAGTGGTTCAGTATCACCTGCTTGTTCTCCACTTCCTCCCGTTCCGCCATTTTTCCTCTCAAAGCTGCTCTCAACTGAGCTGAAAATGGCGCGAAGTAGCAACTAGCAATGCACACGTATCCTGTATTGTTACTTCCACCAGTTCCTTAATCTTCTCCGTACTAAATAAGGAGAAATCCCTAATTTTAAGATATGCGGGGTTTTGTGTCAAAAAAAAAAAAAAAAGATATGCGGGGTTTGAAACCTTTTAGTTTTTGAATATTAATAAATTCATGCTCATACATTTCTGTTTTTTTTTTCTTTATATATTCAAATAAACCGTTTTTGTTTTTCTTTTGAGTGTGGGTTTTGCTTTTTATTTTGCAAAATTATGAAAAATGAATTTTTAAGTTATTATCCATTGATCTTGAATTTCCAAATATTACCTGATCTCATAATTGGATTAGTGCTTATTATAAATCCTACTCCTCCCGTTTCACTAAAAGTGTCATACTTTCTATTTTAGGATATTTCAAAACATTTGTCATATTAAAAAAATCAAAGCACATTTTAGTCTTTCTTTCTAATATAGCCCTTCTTTTTAATCATAAACATGTTACCATTCAAATTTAAATTTTGAATTTGTGAGAGTAAAATTGGAAAGAAAACACAAACATCAACCACTATTCTTAAAAAGTTGGATTTTCAAAACATAACTACATAATTGGGACGAAAAGAGTATTTAAATTCAACCACTTCCCTTTTTTCTTTCCTAACAAACGTTAACAGCTTTTATGTATCAAACTCGATACTACAATTACAAAAAAAAAGGGGCCACTACCCTCATCTCCCTTCTTGCTATTTCTAATAGCCATATTGGGACATCACATTCCTATTCTATGTCCTGGACTAGTTTTACTGCAAACTGAGCTAGTTCATGACTGCGTCTGTTTTACGCTCTATTTGCAAAAGAAAAGCTACAGCATTGAAACCACTGGCTTAAATCCTGAATATCCTCTAAGATAATTTCAATGTTGTAGTTATTTACATTGCATGTGTTGATTTGATCCGCCACTGATTTGAAGTCTGTGTAGACCTCTATTTTGGTCCACCCTGCATCTTTGGCCATTACTAAGGCATTTGTTATAGCTAATGCATCCACCATGCTGGCTTCACTCATTCTCTGATGTACTATCCCTTTTGTCTTCACAATTTTTCCTATCGAATATTTTGCTTTTATTCCTTACCCAGTTCTTACCATTCTTGCCGATATTGCTGCATCAGTATGCAACCTAATCACTCCTTCCATTAGTGGCTCTCTCTTGATCTATTTTTGTTGTTGCACAACAGCATTGACTAGTTCTTCACTTTCAGTTTCCTTCGCCTGTTCATATTCCATCCAATCTTCTTATGCCTTTTGCACAATCTTGTTTGGGTCTGGATTGATTTTCTCAAAACACTTTTTTGTTCCGAACTTTCCAGATTTGCCACAATATATTGATAGTAATGTTGATCCTGTCTTGACCATGGTCCATTGAGCTTGCTTACATTGCCATTTCCCACCATTTCCACAAGTTGTGATGTACTTTTAGCCCCTCCCATTTGATTGGAGGCAGTTTTAAGACCAACTTAGCATTTGCACAAAAAAAGAACATATGCTCTATAGCTTCAAATTCTTCCCTACAACAATCACATCTTCCATCCCTCTTTCCTAGACTTCTAAAAATCATATCATTAACCGGGATACAGTTTTGCAGACATTTCCACATAAAGTGCTTCAATTTTGCCTTTATGTTTAGTCCCCATAGCCTTTTCCAAACACAGTGTTTCCTAATCTCCCAACTAGTTTCAGCATTGATCCCCTCCTTTTTCCTATGCTAGTTATCCTCTTTTTTAGCCACTTCATTTCCAGATTTTACAGTATACACACTAGTTTTGGAAGAACTCAAAAATGATCTGTCCATCTTTCTATGCAGGCTAAGAGGGATATTTTCTATTAGTTCTGCCTCATTTTTACTGAATAGTTGTTGTAGGGTCTCCTTTTTCCATCTGCCTTCTTCTATCAAATCACTTACATTTTCCAAATGACAGTTTGTAGGTCTTCTTGTGGTCACTATGCCCTTTTCTGAGCCTATTAACCACTTATTCTTCCAAATGTTCACACTTGGTCCATCACCAATTCTTTTCCATAACCCTCGAGCAATAGCTTCCTTGCACTGTGGATACTTTTCTAGCACTATGATCCTGATTTTGGGGGTTCCTTCTCTAGCCACCTTGGATCTTTCATGTATTTAGCTTTTTATCACCTTGCGTACTAGCAAATTTGGAGATGTTGGGAATCTCCAAATTTGCTTTGCAAGCAAGGCTGTGTTGAAAGCCACTAGATCTCTAAATCTCAATCTCCTTTTTCATTTACTTCAGAAAGTTTCTTCCAGATTGCCCAGTGTACAGTGTTTTCCTTTTCTCCACTACCTACCAAAATCTAGCAATTCTTGCTATGATCTATTTGTATAGTCCTTTGGGAAGACTAAAACAAGCCCTAGCATAATTTGGCATAGCCATTATGACTGATTTGATAAGGACTTCTTTACCTGCTTGACTTAGCCGCCACTGTTTCCACTCCTGCATTTTGTTAATGATTCTACACTTTATGTAACCAAACACTTGCTTCTTTGATCTTCCAATGGGCATAGTCAAGCATGTTCCTTTTGTTGCTTCTCTCATCCTATCCAAGGCCTCACTTGTCTCCTGTTTTGTTTGATCTACAGTGTTTTTGCTGTAATATATAGCAGGCTTTTCAAAATTTACCACTTGACTAGAAGCTTTGTCATACTGTGTGAGGACTTCTTTTAATTTTTCTGCCTCTTGTCTACTGGCTTTGCAACAAAGTAGTGAGTCATCTACAAAAAATAAGTAAGAAATAGTAGGTCCATTTTTACTGTATAGTCCTTCAGCATAGACGATGAAGATGTAAGGTGATAAGGGGTCCCCTTGGTGGACTCCCTTGATTGGTCTAATGTTTCCTACTTTTTGGCCATTTAGATTGAAGGAGTAAGAGATAGTTGACAAGTAGATCATGATCCATTTAACAAACATAGGATAGAAACCCATTTGAGTCATCGCGCTCCCCAAAACCTTCCATTCTACTCTATCATAGGTTTTAGACATGTCAAGTTTGATAGCCATGAATCTTTGTTTGCCTTTCCTTTTTTTTCCAAGAAGTGAAACATTTCATAGGCTATGACAACATTGTCTAGGAGTTGTCTTCTTGGGATGAAAGCTGATTGGGTACTGCTAATGCAGTGATTCAGGACCTTTTTAAGCCTATTAGCCAGTATTTTGGAAATGATCTTATATAGGACATTACACAAACTAATAGAACTATAATTAACCACACTTACTGGGGCATCAGCTTTTGGGATTGAAGAGATGATAGTTTTATTCATTGTTTTGAGAAGAAAACCATAATGGAAGAAACTATTTATGGTAGAGACAATGTCATTGTTAATTATATGCCAGTAATGCTGGTAAAGCAGTGGTAACATATCATCAGTGCATGGGGCCTTATTAGGGTGCATGGAGAAAAGGACTTGTCTGATTTCTTTCTCTTCAACTGGTTTGATCAATTGCTCATTCATTTGACCAGTAATAGTGTGAGTCACTTCTACTAATATTTCCCCAAAATTGTCAGGATTAGTTGTAGTGAACAAGTCCCTATAGTAGTCACTCATCTCCTTCTCAATGTCCTGCTCATTGGTGTACCAGGTTCCATCATGTTTCTATAAGGTGTTGATCATGTTTCTTTTCCTTTCTGTTATTACAGTTGTGGAAGAATGCTATATTTCTATCATTTTCTTTCAGCCATTGTCACTTGATTTTTGGCTCTAATACAGTTCTTCATCCTTGTATGCTTTGCTGAGTTTTGTTTTCAGTTCAACAGTCTTGCATCTCTTGTGTGGTTCATTTCTTGCTTTGACCACTGCTAGTGGTTCCTTTAGATCCTGTTTTCTTACCTTTGAGTTCCTTTCCTCCTTCTTATTCTACTCTAGCATAGCAATCTTGCATTCCTTTACTTTCTTAGTCACTTATACATTCTTGATCTTGCTTGCTCTTTTTCCCATGCCCTTTTAACCACTTTTTTTTGTCTTAGGATTTTTGGTCCATTTCTAATCAAAGTAGAATCTTTTTTTGTTCCTACCTTTTGAAGGATTAGTGTCCAACATCAACAGGTAGTGGTCTAAGGCCTTCTTTTCCATATGTGTACAGGTGGGCTTTCCAAATCTTTATATCTAACTAGTATTACTGAGACACCTATCCAACCTCTCCTTTGTGAGAACCCTGAAAATAGACATATAAATATCAGTGCATATTTTATTTGCATTTTAATTCCTTAATAAATTTTAGCACTAAGTCCAATTGTTTTTAAATAAGTATGTAGAATTAAATGTTAAGTGCAAAATAAAAGAATTGTGCTAAACTACTAAACTTCTTGGTTTTGTTACATTAACTTCATATTTCGATGGTAAACTATTTCATTGATCTAATCATTAATTTCTTCGAATTCTAGAATGGTAATTAATTATTTTGAAATAAAAGTGTAGAGATAATTTTTAAGTAATAAATAATATAATTGTGCCAATATTGAATTATTCGGTTTTGCTATATTAAATTAATATTTCTTGAGTTAGATTTAATTTGTTTTCGCCTTAATATAAAATGTTAGAATACTTAATTCCTTTATGCTAAATTAATGGTACTTGAGTCGATATATTTTTGAGGAAACGTTACAAGTACTAAGTATTCTTAGGATGTGAACAATTTCTAGGATTAATTTTCGCAAGGATAATATATAATTAGGCGTTTAAAATCACACTTGGGGATAATTTTTAGAATTAAGTTGAGATTGGGGAGCAAAGTGAAAAGACTAAACTACCCTTGAACAATTCCTCAATCTATCATGCAACTCAAACCAGATTTCGGACAGAAACCAGAGGCCACCTCCTTGTTCGGCCAATGCAAACTTTCACCACCTACACACTCAACATCCTGCACACTCAACCTCCCTCAAAACCGCAGCACCACTCCACAATTCCATTCCATATCCTCTGCACACTTCCTACCCAGATAACACTCTACTTTCACCTTGTTATCATCG